AAAGACAATTAACAACCCTTCATATACACTTTAGGAATGAAAAAATAAGAGCCTCAGACTTTATAAAGAGATGTTCCATTTGAACCCTTAAAGCAGAGATGTATGTAGTGCTAAGTGTTAAGGTATCTCACTTCAAGCTCTTTTTCTTCCATAAGCATGAATCATTTCTCACTGAGTAAACACTTGCCTTGCGCCAATAAAACAAAATCAAATAGCTTAATTACAGAGATGAATAGAATGTATCTTTACTGTTTGTGCAAGATATCTCCTTTTATTAATGTATTGCCTGTGAATCAGGCCCTGAATTACTATTTATGTAGACTAAGATGTTGCTTGGCAGAGCTGCTTCCCTTTCTGCTGGGCTCTAACTCAGCCTATGATCCCAATCCATCCCACATGAGTTTTGGTATCTAACAGAAGCAGGGTGGAATCTCAGGAAGGAGCTACCATCAACCACAGCCTGTGACCCACCCTTTTAGCTAGACAGGGTTTTACCCTCAAATTGTCTTTGCAGTCGAGAAATGGTGGCAGAAGGAAGAAGAGAGGCTACCATGAGCTTAGTTGTATGTTTTAGAATAGCAAAACTTGACCCTGCTAGCAGCTCCATGTGTTGACAGAAGGCTCAAATGAGGCACCAGTCTCGTGTTATGTGTTTCCTCCACTCTGCTCCCCTCAATCTTTGATTCCTAAAAGAAACAGCTTCCCTGTGCAGGACAATATAAGACATATAATAGGGCATAAGGCAGTAGAGCTAATACTTCAAGTTTTGTTTCTTGATGCCAGTCACAGGACTTTTACCTTGAGATAGCCGCTAACAGCCAGAGCTTAATGCAAGCACGATAAGACTACTAGAAAACTATCTTATGACAATCTTTACTACACAGCTTATCACTCATGCAAGCATATCATTCATACTTTCAGCAGGGGCACAAACAGCACCACCAAAAGATAAACAAGGCACGCAAGGCTCGCTGAAGCACTTCCAGCGCCAAGACGACGGCGCTCTGACGCCCCGCGCTTCCACCCCAGCTCCCCGCACTCCGTCCCGGCTGCCCGCACACAACGCAGCCCCGCACGTGACTTCCTTGTTGTCGGCCCGGCCCGTGGCCTGTTGGCGGCGGCAGCCAATGGGAAGCGCCGTCCGCGCCTCACCAGTTCAGCAGCAGCCAATGGCGGCGCGAGGGGCGGTGGCGGGACGGGCGCGGGGAGCCCCGCGGCGGCTGCGGGCAGCGCGATCCGCGATCCGACCGAGGGGCGTCACGGAGAGCGGGATGTGGCGGGGGGGGGGGGGTGTCGGGAGGGGTCGCACGGCACTCACCTGCCGCAGTCCCGCAGCACGGCGGCACCCACCAGGCGGAGGAGAAGAGCGTGGCGATGACCTCGTCGGGAAACAGCGTGACGTTGCGCTGGATCTGCAGCAGGTTCAGCACCAGCGCCATGAAGGCGCCCACCACGAAGAGCACGACGCTGCGCTGCACCAGGTGCTGCCTCCACGTCGTGCCGTCCCGCACCGCACGTCCCACGCTGGGCGATGGGCTCCGCATGGCGCCTGCCTTGGGGGCCGCTTCCCCGGGCCGCGCCGCGTGCCGCGCACGGGCCGCGCAGGAGCAGCTCCAGGCGCCGCTCTCCAGCCGGGGCATCTGCCCGGCCGCGCTCCGGAGATGGCGGGGACGGCCGGCGGCGCAGGTGACGGCCGCAGAGCCGGGCTGCACCGCCCCCTCCCCGCTACCGCCTCTCACCTCAGCCCCTAAGGAAGGCGCAGGCCGCCACCGCGCTCGCCGCCCGCTCCCGGCGTAAGGTTTATAACCGCCGGCGGCCGCCGTCACGTCACCCGCCGCCAACCTACCGGCGGCAGCGCCTGGCCCGCCGGCGCTCCGCCCCTCCCCTCACGCCGCGCCGAGGGCGGGACCGGGTGCGAGCGCCGAGCGCGGGAGTCGCGCGCCGGTCCCGGCCGCCCGCCCAGCGCTGGGGTGAGGCGGCGCGGCCAATGGCGGGCGGGCGGCTGATATGACGTGCGGGACACACCACGCTCCCGCCCCCCCTCACTCCCCCCCCGCCCGCCCGCCGGGTGACGGCCGCAGCGCCGAGCGGCCAATGGAGGGCGGGGCGGGGCGAGAACGCGGGGAGTGTTGCTGGACGGGCTGTGGATCCGCGCTGCACCACCCAAACCCGAACCGGTGTCTGAGGTCACTGTCCCAGCGCTCCCTGTGAGGAGCTGTGAGGCAAGGCGGTCTCCGCTCAGCCTGCTCCGCTCTGCGCCCAAGCAAACCCAGGGACATCTGCTGCTCCTCACACCCCTCGCCCTGCATACCCTTCACTATCTTGGACACGCTGTGCGGTAGTGACTGATGGTGATGGTGGCAGTGGTTGTGGTCCTCGCAGGCTCGCCTGCACCTCCACGCTGGGTTGTCCCTCAGGAGATGGCACCTGCCCCTGTGTGGTGTCTCCTGAAGGACAAAGGATGGGCACTCCTCTGTAGAATCCTAGAATCATTAAGGTTGGATAAGACCTCTAAGATCATCAAGTCCAACCATCATCCTATTACCACCGTGCCCACTAAACCGTGGCCCTTAGTGCCACACCTCCACACGTCTAAAATGGCCGTGCAAGGAGATCCTGCCAAAGCCAGGGCGGATCATGCGCTCAAGGCCGTGGGGTGCCCAGGTGGCTCTGAGCATCTGTTACGTTTCCGCACTGAGAACTTGAACAGCTGCTGCCCCAGCAGTGCCAAAGACTGGGCCAGGGTGCACCCAGCCCAGCGCAGTGTCACTGAAATGCAGCTAAGTGCAGGTCCACCCTCTGCAGGGTCTGGCTGAGCAGAGACAGTTGTCTAGATGCTGTACGTGATACCCTGTCTAGCACTAGAAAATGTCTGCTTAGCTGCAGGGTTTCTTTTTTCAGATGTCATTTCTCCAGGACACACTGGGACTAGTGTGTTGGTACAGTAAGAATAACCGTGTTTCTTGTTTATTTAGCTGGCCTCACTGGAGCCAGCAGGGCTTCTTTTTCACACGAGGCATGTCCTGCTTGCAGTTGGAAAGAGCACAGGACCTGGTGCCTTCCTGAGCGATGACACTGAGGATTTAAGAATATCTTTGCAGTTGCTGTAGGAGCGAAGGGCGGAATGATGGTCTGCATTCAACTTGGTTGTACTTAATCAGTATGTTCAATGTAACAAATGTCAGTAAAACATATGGAAAGAAACAGGTCTTCTCTATATAGTAAAGTGAAAAATCAACCTAGGATATAGTTATTCCTTCTAATCTCTTATGAATTCCTGGTGGTGTGCAAAGAGTTAGGATAACTGAGCACACTGCATAGGGCAACTTTGGACTAGATACTTGACTTTGAGATGGATGAATTGTTAGTGTCACTGCTGGATGGGGCAGAAAAGCCAAACGTCTTGTTAATAGTGACCAGCTTTGGATGAGCCCAGATCTGCCTCCTGGATTTTACTGCTGGACTGTCATATATGTGTTCTGTGTACGTGGCATTGTAAATGTTCAGTTTCTATTTTTGTTTTATTGCAATAGTATATTGAAGCAGCTTTTTTTTTTTTTTTTTTTTTTTTTTTTTTTTAATGAAGGGGAAGGTAAATGAAAATATCAATAAATAGAAAAAAATCTTCCATTTCAAAGATGTCACTTTACTGTTCACTGCTTCTAGATTGACTATAATGTTGATTAAGCAGTGACTGAAGAGCTGTCCTCTGCATAAACACTGCTGGTTTGGCTTTGTCATAGTGAAGTGGAACACATGGACGCTCTGCCACGTATGCCAGCAAAATGTGGATGTGCCCATGAATTGAGAGTTTCTGTTTGCATCTTGGAAGAATATGCCTTTTCCATCTTCCTGCCTCACCATGCGTTCTGGTGTCAGTGTACACAGTTCTGCTTGTTTCTTACTCTTGTAAGTTACTCACATTGCGATTGTGTTTTGCATTGCACCACTCATTTCCTTTTCTTCATTTTTTTTTCCCCCTGAACAAATGGTCATTAATTGCAGTAAATTTAAATGAATTTTTTTTTTTTAAACTTTACTTTACTTTACTCTATTGTCAGCGTTTTATGATTTCCTCTGCAGAAACATTTGATTTGTTCCAGGAAATCACATGCAGATACAGTGCTTCCCTTCACAGCAACCAGATATATGTTTTGAATTGACACAGGCAGTTTATCCACATTCCTGGACTGCTAAGCACTACTTTCAGCAACTCTGAGGACTAGAACTCATTCCCTGGGAAATTTTCTTTCCTTATGAATCTTCAAGATTTACCAGCAGGACTGCAGATCTGACATAAAACAACCCGTCTTTGCAAGAAATCTCTTTCTGGAGTTGACCTCAGGGAAACAAACACTAAATCATCCTTGCTTGTGCTACATCTCTACTTTATTTGAAAATATAACTTTCTGTATTTCTGTATTCATTTTTCCCCCCCGAGCCCTACCTGTATCCTCAGTGCCTGTGCAGAGTTCAGATTCCCTTGCGTTGCATCTGCTGGTTTTCTCTCCTGAAAGAACCTGTTAAGCATTTTTTAATGCTGTGTTTTCCTTTCCTCGTGTCTGTCTCCCTTCTCCTTCCCATAGCATATTTTCTTACCTTTTTTTTTTTTAATAACAGAATATGGTGGTGCCCTTTTTTTCCCTAGGCTTCTTTCAGTTGGCAGAGACCAACTTCTGATATGGTAAAACTTGTGGCAGTTTCTCTATGACCAATGGCAGCAATGTGAATATTCACCAATTGAGAAATTGGCCCCAGTCATGTGTTTCCTGAAATCATCTGCTTAGAATAAAGGTTAAATGCCCCATCATATTTGTGTTGCTTTATACTCATTACGGTTTGGATTTCCTTTTAGAATCCTAAAAAGGGTTTGGCCTCAGAAAGCTTTGATTACTGCCTGAAATTTTATGCTGAACAGTTATTTCTGGAAAGAAGTGCTCATGTGTCTCTGTGAGATTAATGACAGTTATTTTTATCTCATTCCTGAGCAAAGACAGCAGAATCTGCAAGTGCTCAGCATCACTACTCGTTACATAAATAATTTCACCTGTTCTTTCCTGCCTTCTGTATTAAACTTTGACATTCTGAAATGTGACAAAATGAGTTTCACAAAGGCTGTTTCCTGGGCCTCTTAGGCAGGAAACCTCATGTGGGATACTGGGGCATTTTGCATTCCTCTCTATTCACACTGAGTCAAAAACTGAGCTGACTGCTGAGAGAAGGCAGTGGCAGAGAACCACAGAAATGATCAGTTTCCCTGCTGCTGAACAAGACCTAATACTGCTCTCCCTCTGCTTCACTAGAGACTTTGGAATTTTATTCACCTTTCAGGCTTTCTCCTATTGATAGAGAGAAAAGAGGCTTTCCCGGTCATAACCTAAACCTTAATCTCTTGTGTCTCCATAAGAGGATTTAGTGACGTGCTTTGTTTGATTCCTGATGCCAACTTTATGCACAATAGTTCAAAAAATCTCTTGTCATGAGTCGCAGTATATCAGACTGAATTCTTTGCTTTTGTTTTCAGTGCAGTGGTGTGAATTCTCTGGAACCTTCACTGAAGCCTGTATGTTGCATGATGCTTCCTCGGAGATCACAGTACCATAGAAAGGTGGATGCAGAATTCTGTAGTGTGATTTTGTGAAGTTTTGTAAGTCCTTAAGTTGTACAGGATCTCATTAAAAGCTAAAAGGAGAAGTACAGAGAGTGATTACATGGTACAATAAGCAGTATGCAAAAAGGACAGGCTCCCAACAAAACAAGCCCTAGCCAGAACACTTCAGGCGTGTAAAACAAAGGGGTTGAAACAGAGTGTTGGTGGTTAGTATGTAATAATTTGAGTCATCCACAGTGAGTTGAATGTAAAAATGTTGCTGCTAGTCTATAATCTAGGGTGACAAACGGAAGTTGGAGTCTTAGCATGGAAATTAAACCCTAACAAAGCTATTTCTTTCTGCAGTTAATAATATCGTGCAGGGCATATGACAAATGAAGTTTTTTTCTGTTGTTTAGTTGCAGACAATTCTCTAGCTGCTTTCCTACCAAAGCAAAACAGAAAGAACAATTATATGGAGGCTGCAGTCTTCAAGTGTCTATAAATTCATGTAGCAGCTATCATATAATTAGCTAATCAGCATCCTACATACAGCTGTGGGGAGTGACTCACTCTCAATGAACCTCTGTCCTGACACAAAGACAGTGTCTTTGTCTCAGCTGCAACTTCATTCATTGCCATCATTCTGTGTAGTTCTATAGCAGCTAGTTCAGTCAGTCCAGACTTCATATTCAAGACAGTGATTTGATCTAAACTTCATTAGGAAAAAGTACTTTTTGTTGTTGTATTGGCAACAAATTGCTTCTTTGATGACATTAGCAGGTTTGTGAGGTTGGCCAGCTTTTTATAATAGTAGTCCACGTCATGGTAGTCTAAAAAATAGGTGACATAAATAACATATGTGCTGCTAAAAAACTCAGCAAAGCAGAAGACACATCATCTTTTCTATAGATTATTGTTGATGGAAACATTGCTTGCCTGCAGAAGAAACTGAAAAAGTACATTTCTATATCTGATGCTCATAAATCATCATGAAGGGGCTTCTCTGTACGTGGAAGGGCTGTCGTGGTCACTAGCTCAAATGTTTCTCACTTCTTTAGTGGTTTGGATCTCATGCATTCCCTCATTGAATGAAATGATAATTTCCACAAAGTTTGTAATGTGAAATAAGTTCCCCTGACAGCCTTCTTCTTGTGGTACATATTTCCAGCACTTTTTATCTTTTCTTATTAGAAATCTTCCCACTTTTGTCAAGTGCCTGGGGAAGATGCTTCTTGAATGCATATGACAGCTAGTAGGGTTACCATGAATCCACCACAAAGGAGCTACTCCCCCACTACATGCTTAAATCCTTAAATTTCCTCACGGTACAGCAGGGGAGACGTGTAGTGACACTCTTTCCTGTAGTTATACAGTTGTAACGAGTAGTTACAGAGGAGAAGAAGGATCCTTGCAGCATCTTCATTTTCCAAACTCATCTCAGTGTGTCAAACAGAATGACTGTTCTTCTCTGGGAGAACTAGCTGTAGCCTTGGTGTCTGATGAGATAGGTAAGATCTAAATCCGATGAGCTCTTTTCTGCTCTGCCTCTTCCTTGCCTGGCCATACTGTAGCAATAACTATAAATAGCAGAGCTGTAGCTACCAGGAATAGACTCAGTATCACACACCATGGTTACATCTCTCCATCTTTATTTTCCTTAAGCTCTGGAACACAGTGGTTGGGAGTTCTAGAGCCATTGCTATCATGTGGAAAACACTTCTGTCTAGAGCTCTCTATGTAGTATGGTTCTGCCCAATTCATATTGCCTAAAAAAAAAATGCTTAGGGGCATAGGTAGTTCACTTGTAGGACTCCTTATATCTACCTGAAAGTGGTCAGAGGACCATTTTGAAAGCGTGACTATGTAGAGCTGATTTCACCATGAAGCACAAGCTATTGTTTGATTTGTTCTCCCATCACGTTGTAGACTCATATTCAGAGAACAGTCTCAGCTGTGAACAGAGCATTGGGAAAAGCTTTGCAATATACAATACAGTAAGTGTGATGAAGCACTGGCACAGGCTGCCCAGAGAGGTGGTGGATGCCCTGTCCCTGGTGACACTCAAGGTCAGACTGGATGGGGCTCTGAGCACCTGATGGAGCTGTGGGTGTCCCTGTTCACTGCAGGGGAGTTGGACCAGATGGCCTTTAATGGTTCCATCCAACACAAACGATTCTGTGATACAGCCAGGAAAACCAGTGCACAGCAAAGATATCAGAAAGAGAACTTGTGTACACATGATTGCGTGATGTGATATGGAAATGTGGTGTCTACACTGCATCTTGATTAGCTGTCCAGACATTGCCACTTTCAGGCAAAATCTCAAGATTCCCATTTCATGATGACATCAGCAGTGCTCCTCATTGCAGTTCACTGTACTGAGGTGGTAGGAATTTTTGGATTGCCAAACTGAACTTTAAAGAAGCACCGCATGTGGGAGGCCTAGAACTTTCCCTGGGGCAATAGCTTAGAAATTGCTGAAGCCAGGATGTGCTGAAAAATGTGTTTCTTTAGAGCCAAACCCTTCAGCTTTTACTCATGAAGAAACACTTTAATTGTAATAATGAGATCAGGCCACTTGCATGTAAAATCAAAGGCATAATTATGAGCTAAGTTGTTGGTTATATGCTAATATAGGTCTTGCTATTTTTCTATGGGTGTTTCTTATACAACTGCTTCAAACACGCCATAGTACATTTTACTTTTTTTTACAGGTATTGCTAATAGAGTCATCTTAAATCAAGTACTAGGTTAAAATTCTGCAAATTGCAGCTTGTTAATGGTCTGAGCTGCACGCTGCCAGCTTCACTTACTGTATTCTTCAGGCTTGCTGGATTTGAAAATCCAGGAGAGCAGACTGTGGTGTAGGAACATGCACTGCACTCACTCAGCCTGCTCAGAGCAACCCACTTCATAGAGGTGCCTCTGCTCAAGCCCAGGTTCAGTTGCCTTCGCAGGCAGCAGAAGGAAATAGTTCTTTGATGGATCTCTATCTGAGCAGGCCTGGGAGGTGCCTGCTTCTCTCCTCTGACTGCAGCAAAAGCTTTTGCTTTCTGTACCCAGAAGTAAATTCTAAAGTAGTCTAGATTGAAGCTTTGAGGTCAGAGGGCAGCTGTATGTTTATACCTTGCTATAATGCAGTACAGTCAGAAGGTCCAGCAACCACCCAGATTTCAGTCTGGTCAGGTTGGTTTGTGAGTTGCCTCACAGTGTCAGGGCTTGGTGGCATTAGTAAAGATGAGATTGATACCTTCATTGCAGAGGTTCAGAAATTGTGATTGCAAAAAGACCTCCTGACAAACAGGCATTAACTGCAATATCTGCAATGTTACTTGTTTCTTACATCCCACATATGGTGAGGGAGAAACACAAGGAATAAAGAATGATACCTCAATCTGGGGAAACAGGAGACATAAGCACAAAATTTCTGAAGATAAAATGGTTTTATATTCTATCTTAGATGCTAAAATGGTTTTGCATCCGTCTTAGAAGCTATCAGTCTTCTCATCAGCCAATCTTGGCATCTGTTGAACTGCATACGTATTTACTCTTCCCAGATTCACTAAAGGAATCTCAGAAAAATGAAGCAGGCATCTATCTCCTGCTTTTGAATTATTAGCACAAAGATTTGTTGTTACAAAGAGAACTTGCCCCTCTTTTTTACGATTAGAAATTCTGCTGGCTTTGCTGTTTTGTGGTTAGCTGGTTGCTTGTGTTTGTGTGTGGAAATCTTTGTTCTTGCGGTGTTGTTTCTCTGGAATGCTATGAGCAGTTGTTTTTGTTTGCTCATACTTGGGTGGAGCTAACTATCTAATTGGGTAAATATTTGCAATGTTGTGCTTGCATGCACAGAAGACAAAGAGGGCCTGATTCCTACTGACACAAATGGCCTTTTACACTGGCCTGGCAATGTAAAGGCTTACATAAAATTGATAACTATGAGCCCACTTCTTGTGGTCACACCATGTAAAGTGGATTTAGTATAAATAATTGTCCTGCTCATATTTATTTCCCATTTCAGATGGACTGGTATTTTTTGGATGGGAGGCCTTCTGGTTACAGCCACAAAGGAGGAAACTGTCCCGTGCACTGACTCTGTGTTCAGAAGTGCACAACTTCTCCTAGCCTTAGTAGGACTTGGAGCTTGGCGCTGCTGAAAAGCAAGGCATGTATTTACCAGCCTGTCTTCCCGCATGTAAGTTTTCCACAAATGTTTCCCAGGTGAACATTAAGGCCAGATAAATGAGTCCGAATACCTGAAGCTGCTTTGAAAATTAGAATTTGCTGGTGCTCATGAAAGGCATGTTTATATCAGTGATAAATATGGTGTTTCAACCGTACCAGGTGTCTGCTACATGTGTTATTATAAGCAAATCTACAAAGTTCACTGTAAAGATCTAAGATCTACACACTTAGGAAGAGATCACAGTGAATACTTAGGACTGATCTACTGTTAACAGATAATTGAGTCTTTCTTTGTACAGGCGTTAATAAAACTGCTTGTGACATAAGGAATAGTGAAACTGAGCTCCACAGCTGAGGTGCTGTATAAACCTGACCCTCGCTCAGCTTCTGCATAGCTGCAGCTATAAAAGCCTGGAGCTTACTATCCTGCCTAGTCTTGAAAGAATTGCATAGTCTCCAGGTGCCATTGCTTCATACATGCCTTATGGGGACAATACAAAATGTACTTAGTGCCTTTCTTTAGATCTAATAAAAAACTTTAATATATGAAGGTTTCATTTTATTAAAAATTCTTTTTCTTGTTTGAAATTCTTGCTCACTTATTTGCTTCAAGGTTCAGCTATTTATTCTTGTCTTTAAGTAATAAATAGGAATAATTTAGAGTTTGAACTCCACAGAGCCAAACTGTGATGCTTTTACACTGGATGATATCTTACTGGGTTCATTGTAATTATTCTGCAGAGTCCCTCAGGCTAAGTAAACTTCCCAGGCTGCTTTAAGACTTTTATCATCACAGTGTAGCCATTCTTCCTCGTCCTTTACTGTAGGTCCTCAATTTTTGTCTGTCTTATAAAAAATGTGTTGAACCTCAGATTGTTCAAGCATTTATTGATGGAAAGCCTTCCTTACTGGTATCCATGCAGACTTATTCCTGTTGCCTGCCATTCCCCTGTTCCCAGTCTCTGTGTATGCATTCTGTAAAGCATCATGGGGTCTTAGGGACATGATTTAGTGGGCATGATTGTAATGGATTGATGGTTGGATTTCATGATCTTAGTGGCCTTTTACAACCTTGATGATTTTATGGTTCTGTGATTCTATGACTTGAGACAGATAAAACAGGTTGTTTTGTTGCTTGCAGGTGTATCCTTTCTCTGATCTAGTTCACTTCTCCATACTCCAATGCTGTGTTGGTTGGGATAGGAGCTGCAGAGGACCCTGAAGTTCATTGTGCTGGAGAAGACTCCTCATAGAGCTGGAGCTGTTTTGCCTTCTGTGTTTGGTAAGAATTTCTCACTGTGTTAACCACCAAGCCATGTCACAAATGTGGTGCTGAATAGTTTCCTATGAGCTCACATCTTTCCACTGACAGTAAACCACTAACTTTTCTAGCTTTTGGGATCTTTGTAAGCTCCTTTGTAGGTACTTGTAAACACATGTTGAGTTTTTCCCTCAGTCAGGTATAAGTGGAATTTATAAAAAGGCACATATAATTCTGTCTTATGATTGCTGCATTAATCCTGAACACATCTAGAACTTTATCACTGAGTTACCTTCATGCAGATGTAAAACTAGGTTAAGATTAATCAGAATATTTAAAGTTGTGAGTAGGGAAGCAAATACCAGACAAGGCAGCAATATTTTTTCATTAAAAAAGGAGGCTAAAAATGATACCAGTTCTCTTCCCCCACGTGATACTTGTTGAAGTACAAATATATATAAACCATCTTCCTCGTGACTTTGAGATTAGTATTACTAATCCTGTTTCTCTGAAGTGTTTTTCCTGCTTCTTGTAAGCAAACAGACTGTAGCTATAGGACAGCAGCACCTAATCCTCACCTTCTGTCAGCCACCCACAGAAACCTGTTCCTTCTTCAGGTCTTACCTTTTCCGTGGGTGCTGCAATTAATCACGTTGGTGAGGTGCGTGTGAGTGGCCAATGACATTTCCCTCTGTCCTTCAAACTCTTATCCCATCATCACTGTGTTTTCTGAATATTTCTGTCTGTTTTTGCCAACAGATTTGGGCATATCTTTCTAGCTCTATTTATGTTTGTTTCATTGGCACTGCTGTGATTTCTCATCTGACCTGGGTGAGCAGAATTTGCCATGTTGTTTGGTTTTGGGGTATTACCAAAGACTCATTTAGTGGCAAAGGTGCTTTCAAGATATTGTGAAAAGAGTGTGTCCCTTTCTGCTTCAGCTCACCTATCTGCACCTGCCAAAGCTGAGTCTTGCCTATTTACAAGATAAACTTTGTCACGAGTATCTGATATTTGAACTGGCAGCAGTCAGAAATGTCTGACTGCTCCATGACTTTCTCCATGAGCAGAAGTTAAATTTATACCTGAATTTTCTAGCACACGTTTAAAGTCCACAGCCTAATTTGCTGAGAGAGGTCATTAACTTTGCGTTGTATTAGGAAATACTCTTTACCAATCCATTTCAATGCAAAAGAAAACAAAACGGATTTGTTCCAAAAGATTCATTCATGAAAAAATTGAGTTGAATGAAAAAGGAAATGTACAGTATTTTTTTTAAAAATGTATCTGGTATGAGTGCTTCAGACTAGACTGTGCATTTTACAGATAGCTACTAATTACACTGATCATTGAGACGTGTGATAAACACTGTAAGAGTTATTGGCATATCTGTAATGTTTCCTTCTGCATAATATATCTGCACTCTCCATAGAAATAATGCCTACTGCTGTTTCATGTTCAAGATGAAATATGTCCATCAATATATTTCCCAGGGGAAAAGAGAGAACAAGGGCAGGGAGAAGGTTGCTCTGCAAATACACTCCTTATGAGGAGCAAAGTTGCAGGGGAGCTTGTCTGTAGCTCTTCCCAAGCAGTGGAGCGTGTCATTGCTTTTGCAATAAACCTTTCTTCAGGAACAGATAGAAAACAACTGAAAAACAATTAAAAACTTAATTTGATGTAATACTGTCCATAAAACAACTTTACTCAAGACTTTTTGAAAGACTGCTGTTCAATGTGAAAAAAGACTGCCAGAAGTCCAAGGAGAACAGAGAATATTTATGACTGGAGAAATACAATTCCACTTTTACCCTGGAGGAATGGCTTGGTGAGATGTAATGCTTAACCCAAGCTTGAGGAAAATAATTTGGACCTACACTCTAGGTAATGATGTTCAACAAAACTGTTACAAAGACTTCTTTACTGCCCAAATGATACCCAACAGAATGAATGGCCTGGGAGCCTGTGGTGACCTAACCCACAGCTGCAGAGTTGGTCAATTCTATCTTTGGAAAAGCTTGGATCGGTACCGAGATATGAAATGTATAGTTCACATTTTTTACACAGATTTATTTCCTTTAGCAAAAATCCTGTTTGACTTATCTCATGTTTTTCTTTACAACACCTAGCAACGTCAGGAACAACACTTTGTGCTACACTGGATCTGTTTAGAACAGATCCACTGACTCAACTGGTCAGAGGAACAAAAGGCAAAATGTTGTTCTTTATTCCAATCTAATGCATGTAAAAATCACCTTTCTGGGCCCACAGTCCCATACAGGTGTCAACACATGACTACAGAACAAAAGAAAATACAGCAAACCTTAATATGTATGCTTGGATTAGCTATCTAACAGTGCTGCTAGTGACCTAATCTGCTTCTAACTGCATTTAATTTTTTTTTTCCCCCAAACTGCCTTAGCCATAGCTGTTTCAGACTGATTTCCTGATAGCTTTCCTCCTTTAGTAATGCCACCTGATACTGTCGGGAAGACTGAAATGGGGAGGATGCAAAACTGGCTAAAATTCACTTTCCTCACAATATGTCAAGTTATGCTGGATATACTGTTCTTCTGTAACCCTGTCACATAGCATCTCTTTGCTTTTTAAACCAGCAAACAATAACTCGTGCCTAAAACAAGCTACTTCATTATCTTTTTGTTCTTTTTCTTAATGAACTTTGGTTATCACTGGTACTCATTAAAACATTTTCCTTGTAGCTCAAAAACTGAATGGACGCTTTGTAGTCAGTTGTCTATCATTCCACTATGGAAATCAATTCTCTGTTACCTATGCATGGGTTGCCTGGGTTATGTATTAACCAGGCTGGGATGTGGTGACCTCTGTTTGCATACTATGTGAAAACTTGACTTCGGACCAGGAGGCTGCATTGACTGAAGTAGAGGGGTGCAGGAACATCTGTCACATCCATGTCTCCGGGCAACAAGCTGCCTTCATCACAGAGATTTGAGCTTCCATGTATTTCTGGCTGTTGGCTCCAGCAAAATGTCCTACTTTTTCACCATCAGCAGCAGACATGGGTTGCCTGAGCATTACTTGTATTTACTTTAAGTTGGTAGAGGATGGGGAGTTTAGGTCTTAATGCAGACTGTCAGTTCAAGTTCAAATGTTTAGATGTTTAAATCATCAACTTTTAGTGATTTTTACTGGTGTATTGTCTCTGTATCTTGTACTGGAAATAGTGCAGTCAGGAGGAACATGTGATCAACCCTCTGTACTCAGCACTGGTGAGGCTGCATGTTGAGTGTTGTGTTCAGTTTTGGGTCCCTCACTACAAGAAGGCATTGAGGCCCTGGAGTGTGTCCAGAGAAGTGTATTGGAGCTGAGAGGGGACAGGAGCATAAGTCTGAGGGGGAGATACTGGGGGAACTGGGATGATTCAGTCTGGAGAAGAGGAGGTTCAGGGGAGACCTTATTGCCTTCTATAGCTCCCTGAAAGGAGGTTGTGGTGAGGTGAGGGTTGGCCTCCACTCCCAGGTAACTGATAGAATGAGAGACAGTGGCCATAAATTGTGCCAGGAGAGTTTCAGGTTGGATATTAGAAAATATTTCTTTTCAGAAAGAGTGGTGATGCAGTGGCACAGGCTGCCCAGGGAGGTGATGGAGTCACTGTCCCTCGAGGTGTTCCAGGACCGTGGAGATGTGGCACTGAGGGATATGGTCAGTGGGCATGGTTAGGATGGGCTGATGGCTGGACTAGATAATCTTAGAGGTCTTTTCCAACCTATGATTCTCTGATCTCCTCCATTTTCAGGAATATTTGTGCTAGCAGCTTTTTGAATTTCAGACTCCTCCAAATTCCTGTGCCTCTTTGGGAAGGCAGTGCTGTCTGCACCACTTGGGAGTGCTTGCTGCCTTGCAGAACCAAGTCCCAGGGGTTCAATCCTGTACACTTTGTGTCTTTGGCCATTGACCTCGATGTGACAATTTGAATCCCGAGGTCACAGAATTGTTTCTCCCATTGAATTACTGCTCCTGGCTTTTAGGATATTTCCCCATGCTCTTGCACATCCAAAAACTGTTTATTTCCCCTTCTGGCAACCCATATTCCTAGATGACTTATTTTAGCAGGAGTCAGATGCTTACAACAGTAAGAGGTTTGTACTGGTTCTTGCTGGTTTAGAGAGCTGACACTAGTGTAATGAGAGTGCTGGCAGCAGCAACAGCTCAAGCCCTGGCTGAGCTGGCTTCTGTCCTTCAGGAACCACCCCCCAGCAGTGTGTCCCCAAGGGGATGGAGTCCCACAGATGTGTGTCTGTGGGCAGAACTGACCCCAAGGCTGGCCAGCAAGCACAGCCAATGATGGGAGAGGGGAGCTGCTACGTTTAACTTAATGGTGGAGGAACAAGGATACACCTTTCACAGCTTAGTCTGGTACTGAATCACATTAAGGCATGCTTTCCTCTGTAGTTTTATCTTACTCAGCTAAAAGTTGTAAGGGTGTGACAGATCAGCAGAGGTCAGGTGAGACTGCATGGAAAGGGAGGAGTTGCTCTCGTTTAGGTGTTTTTTCCCCCTCCCCTCCCCCCCAAACCAAATAGACAGCACTTTTAATAGCTAGACTCACCTGTGCTTTTTTAATAATAGGTTGCTAGAGTGCTCAGCTTGTTCAGTAATTACAGCCAGCACCAAAGTCATAACGTGGAGCGTGGGGTGAGGTCTTAATGAATATCGTTGCTTGCCTCCAAGTACAGCTCTGTGCAGCTTCTGAGAGTATGGCTTCCTCTGGGACGTGCTGTTATCAGGTAGCACAGGGTGAGTATGTGGCAGCTGGGGACAGTAAGTGTTCAGGTGGCTCTATTGGATCATGGCAGTTTTGCAGGTTCAGGAAATCAGAACTCAGTCTTTATTAGTCACTTTTAACATCTGAGAGCTCAGTGTGTTTCTATATTGAAGCTGATATACCCAGCAACGTGCTGAGGCAGTGATTTTTATCACTCACAGGGAAAAAAAGCCGAGTACTGACTTAGCAACATCCAAACCTGCAGAACCTAAGCAATTTTTTTTTTTTTTTAGGATCCGAAGCCAGTCTTGTTCTCACTTGGCACCAAATAGACACAGATGATGAGACTGTAACATATAACACACAGAAGAATTTATTCTAGCTCTCTTCAACAGATTCTGACTTCTGAAACCTACAACAGTACGTTGTTTTCAAAGGTGGAGAAAGGGATAGAGCAAATTACTGGAAGGAAACCTATTGCATATGAAGCCATTTCTGCTCATAAAGTTGCTAAACCTCTGGTTGCCTGAAGTTTGGAAAGTGGAAGGGCAAACTGAAACCTCTGTTTGGTCTGGGCTGGCTGTGTTCTGCAGTCTGCACAGCGCCTATGTTCTCTGGACACCATGAGTAGTTGCTTAAGATTAAAATCATAGACAGTGGGTGTTCCCAGGCTGTCCCGCAGTCAGTAACCAATAATCAAAAATATTTAGTGAAAGAAAAAGTTCAGGTAAATGTTATTTGAGAATGTGAACAACAGGAAGGAGAAAAAGGTGGAAATTCAGAGGGAAAAATGACGAGCAGTAGAAAATATGTATTTTCCAAGATCTACAGTGGAGTGAGAATGTTCCCTGGGGTGGAATACTATTTGGTTTTAAAAGTAGACTGAGTAGGAGGCTGGAAAATGCTATGCTAGAAAGGATCCCACGTTTTCATCTGTTGACCCACTAACCTTTTCTTTACATCTGTTATCAGAAGTGCTTTGCAAAGTTTTTGTTTGTTTTTCTTTTTTGTTTCATCAGAAATTGTTCTACACAGATCTGACTTGTCTGTTTTCCCAGCAGAGATATGCCAGGACATCCAGAGTCATAGGGATTACCCAATATTTGCCTGTGTTGGCAGTAAATGCTGGCAGTAGGGAACTCCCTTTTTGGCCGTGTAGGTTGCTCTCGTCATATCTTCCAGTTTGAGAATTGCAGTAGAGGTAGAGAATAGCTACAGAGATCCAGAAAAAAGAACCCTGAGGCATTAAGTTCCACTCTTACACCAGCGTAAATCTGAAGTGGATCTCATTACATGGCTCTAATTTTAAAGAATTATACCTGAAATGGAAACGTTAGAGATACTATGGATAGGCAGTGTGCTCTCTGCTTTGCTAAATGGATTTACTGTGCTAATTCTGATGGAATTTCACTTCAGCAGATAATCAGAATTACTGATAGAAGAGTTCAGAGTAAGTAGGAGAAAGTACAGCAGTTAATTACAGTGATGTTAAAAATAGATTATGTGGGAATGAGAACACTTTCCAGTAGATGAAAGTGTGAAAGTCAGAACATGGTGCACAGCTTTTCACCTCCAAGTATAAAAGTCACCAAGAAATGTCCCATTGCCTCACCAAGGATGGGTGTTACCTACACGGAAGTGGCTGCTTTGCCATCAGAGTGGCTGCCTCCCAGCTGGTGATTCCTTCCAGAAAAAGACTCAGGAAACAATCCAGGAAAGCTTTCCCTCTATTTGGTGTATGCACTATGTAATTGGAAGGTTGTGATCACAAAAGCATAGAATCATAAAATGGTTTGTGTTGGGAGGGATCTCAATGATCATCCAGTTCTAACACCTGCCATGGGCAGAGTTGCCACCCACTGAACCAGAAATTAGATGAGGCTGCCCAGGCCCCATCCATCCTGGCCTTGAGCACCTGCAGGGATGGGGCATCCACAGCTTCTCTGGGCAGCTCTTGTACCAGCACCTCATTCTGTAGGTGCTGAATGTAGTCATATACCTACACAAAATAAGGAAGATGAACTCTTTGAAGGGGCTAATTCAGAACTGGCCTCCTGGAAATCTTTCAGCTGGAGTAGCTACATAGATTGGAAGAGTTGAGAAAGGCATCGTGCTTTGCACTTCTGACTGTCATTGCAAAGCAGCCAGAAATAAAGAGTGGAACGAGAAGCGTTTAACTGCAATGTCTGAAGGCTTCAACTATCAATGAAGCTAACCTGATAGCTCTGGTGCTCCCGTGGTTCATGATGAGAGAATGAGGAACCTCCAGAGCCCTGGAACACTGTTCTGTGCCAATCTCAGAGCTGCCTTCAGCTCTGTGCTTGGTAATCTGTTAGTGATTGCAAAGCTGTTCTCCTTCTCTTTCTTAACACTTCAAAGGAGAAAGAATTCAGCATTTTCCCATTCTGTGCTGTGTCTCTGGCACAGACATATGTCTTGTACCTTGCAGCTAATGTGTACCTTGCACTGTCACAGGGTGCAAGAAAGATAAATACCCACTGATAACCATAGCATCTTCTTTTTTAAACCTTCTAAGTGCTCTGCTGACACAGTCCCACATTCCACCTGTTTGGCTGCAAACTCTCAGTCCCCCATATCTGCATGCATTGCCCCACCAGCCAGCATCTGGTCCAGCCCCAGCTACCTTTTGTCTCTCTGTTTTAAATCTCAGTCTGTTTTTGAGGATGAAAAATTATCCTCTGCTTCAATTTCCTCTTGCTGGTGCTGGAATTAATTGTTAGTTGCATTCCTTGTGGGGAATGTAATGAAAATATGACTATAATATACTTATAGTGTGATTTGTGGTTACCAGTGGAAATATTTAATGATCTTTTTGTACACATGGAATAATTGCTTCTTCTGTATCACAATAATGGACTGCAATACAATTACACTCTTGTTCTTCTTCGTATAAGAAATAAGCACATGAGTGGAACAGAATCTGAAAAGCAGAATGCCCGTCATATCTCTCCAATATCCATCTGCTCACTGGAGATTCTGCACTCTTTTGAATAACACAGACTCTTATAATCAACGTGATTGTGCAGCTTTAAGATAAACAATTCATAAGATAGCTGAAGTTCATTTTCATAACAAAACTAGGCATTAAGGAGTCATTCCTGAGGCTTTCCCTAAAGGTAAAGGCTCGGAGGAATGCAATACATTGCAGATAAATCCTCCTCATATAAAGCAGTGTATCCTCAGTTGCACGGAGATGAGCAACACTCACTTTCTCTAACAAACTTCTGCTGTGAGCTGCCTCTGAACAAGGTGTTCCTGCCTTATGAGAGCTCATTGCCCATATGTTAAACCACAGACTTTTCATTTTTTCATTTGGCAGGAGAAGGAAGGGGTTAAAAGGCAAGGAGCAATCATGTGCTGGCTTTAGGAAAAAGCAAGTTGTGCAAAAAGTTGATGAGAAGTGAAAATCGCTGAGGAAGTGATTTTTTAGGGAAGGAAATGTGATGTTTGCAGACAGGAGCACTCAGTCTCCTTCTTCTGCCATGGAGTGTGGGTGAGAGCAGTCCCATGGGCGGGCCTGGTAGGGCTGGAGATGTTATTCTGTGCCACAGAGATGGAAAAAGGATCAGAGAAAGGGTCCCAGGTGTAGAAAGGAGGGACGGAATGCGCCCCAATGTTGGATTCCTTGGCACAACATTTGCTAGTGCAACCCTACTGAGCTGCCAAGCACCATGACTTGTACGTATGTCACCCCTCTGGCACAATTATGGCTGTGTGACTCATTCTCAGAGCAAAGATTGTAGAGAACACTTCTTCAATTTGGGGAATGGCTGAAGATAGAATGGAGTGCAGTTAGGACATCAATTTAAAAGCAGCTGGCAACACACAGTACAACAAACAGAGGGTAAGTTAAGCTGTCACCTTACAGTAAGCTGGTGGTCAGAGAGCCCTTTGATGCCACCCTTCCAACCTTTCAGCGTTTGGTGAGAGCGATCAGCCATGAGGTGTTTGCACTGCCCTGCTGCTGGGACCCATCACTCTAACAGGTTTAGTGGCCGACATTTTTGTGTTGCTGTGTTGCTGTGATGCATTGCTTTAAGACTTTTAAGCTGCAATTGTGCATTTCTTCATAAAATATTGACTTCAAGCCTGGGACAGTTCTCTTAAAACAGGAGATGTGGATGCTGCCTCAGCCTGCCTTGTGCCATTCAGCACTGGCTGGATCTGGGCAAGCAGGCAGTGCTGCAAACCAGGAGCAGCAGTGCTTTGTTCCCATCCCACGCCGGTACAAGTGACTATGTAGGTCAGTGAGCAGGGATGAATCATGTCATGTGGCCTGTACAAATGCAGAACCATGTTCTTTGTGTAGAGGCACATGCAGATTCCTATGGAGAGCTGCTGGGGGCTGGGGCTCACAGGGTGCTCTCCATCTAAGTGCATAGCATGAAGAGAGTCGCAGAATGGTTTGGTTGGATGGGACCTCAAAGCCCATCCAGTGCCAACCCTTGTTTTGGGCAAAGCTACCTCTCCCCTGAATACGTTGCCCAAAGCCGTCTCTGGCCCAGCCTGATGTGTGGCCCTACGAGTCCCTTGCCAGGGGCAGATAGAAAGCAGGATCTGCTCCCAAACACCATCAGCACTCTTCTTAAGAGCTTTTTCCCTGTTAATTGCTTTATAACCAGTTATGATTACCCAGTAATGATTCCTGGGTCTAATGATAGGAAGTACTCATTAGCACATGGGCAAGGGAGCAGTTCCCCAGAGCATGTGCATTTAGCAGAGGGGAATATTTGAGACTTGCAAGTTTCCAGAACAGGAAACTGAAATTTTAGGATCTAATATAGCAACCTATTCTCCATTACCATCAGCTGCCATAGTCTAGAGGAAGACACAGAGGGAATCAAGTATGCATAATGCAAACTCACGTAATTATAACACTATCAACCTGACTTTAGCCACTTGGCTTGGAAACAATTGCCCCCAAATATTGGCCTTTGACTGTAGAAATGAAATACTCTTGGGAGAAACTTTCATTTAGATAGCAAATTAGAGGCATAAATTAAAAAAGAAAAGCAAATCACTTAGAAAGTAGCTACCCCTGGTGTAATGCAACGAATATCAGCAAGCTCTGCTTCAGGGCTGAGAATGCTGTGTGCTAAATCAGCATCAAAATGGAGCATGGGGGGCTACTGTCATGTTGATGGTTTTCCTAGAATGATCTAAGTCTAAAACCTCTGAAATTAACAGTCAAATAAACAGAAAAGGGCACAGAAGGTGCTTCCAATCTGTTCTTAAAACACAAAATCGAAGTCATGCCTTCAAGCACGCCCTTCCTCCCGTGTGATGCTGGCCAGACAGATGGTCTTACACTGCACTTCCAGATCAATGCATTTAAAGAGTCCAAAATCAGAAGATTTTACAAAAAAGTAGCCAGCCTCTGCCTGACCTCAACAACTGAGTGTTGTCCAGTTGTCTGTAGCTCAAGCATTGCGAGCACCTTTTCTAGTCCAAGTAACAGGAGGATGATTTGTGGGACTGCAGGCAATTATTCCAGTCTTCAATTTCAAGATGCTGTTGACTTTTACCTCTGACACACTAGAACGATTGAAGTGTTTCACAATAGCAGGGTCCCAGGAAAACATTTCTCAGTCAGACTGATGGGGACACCCATTCCAAGAGGAGAAGATATTCAATTGTGTAAATGCAGAGAAAATGAGGAAAAGAAAGGTATTGTCTGCCATTATTATTAGCTGAAGACCCAGAAGAATTTCTGCAGATGGCAGATAGCATTGCTAGTTTCCAGAACCTAGTGGCTTTTCTTCATATTTGTTTTGTCTTCAGGGAAATGTGCAACATTTAGCAATTAGATGTTGATCCAACTATGAAACAAGGTCAAGGGAATCTTTTACAGTATTACAGCTATTTTTTCTCCCTAACATAACTGATTTTAGAGAGTATGTCTGTGCGCCTTGTGCTGTGGCAACAGCAGGGGAAAAAGTTTATCACTACAAAGTTCACAGCTTAAAATGCAGAAAAAGCCTTTACCAGATCCCAGAGAAATGGAGGATGTGGATAACAGTGGGGCTTCCCAGAGAGCCCAGGCAGTAGGGGAGAGGTGCTGCTCTTGCTTCATGAATTCCTAATAATTTCACTGGGATTCTGCAGATAAACTTCCTGCTTGAGTTCATCCTCCCAAAGACAGAAGGCTGCTGGTGGTGATACTCTGCAACTTAGGGATGTTTTTGTTACGCCTTACTCCTGCATGGTTTCATAGATTAGGCAGTACAGTCAGTGACTGAGAGCTTTTCTTTTACACTGCTACTTCATATAATCTCACTTAGAACCATAGAATCGTGGAGTAGGAAAAGACCACTAAGATCACCCAGTCCAACCATCGACCCATCCCCACCATGCCACTGAACCACGTCCCTCAGTGCCACATCTCCATTGTTCTGGAGTACATCCAGTGTTGGGGACTCCACCACCTCCCTGGCAGCCTGTGCCACTGCATCACCACTCTTTGGCCAAATAAATTGTTCCTAATATCCAGCCTGGACCTCCCCTGAAGCAATTTGAGGCCATTACCTCTTGTCGCACTCGACCATTCTTCTTTCCTTTGCACAACAATAATAGTAGTATAATGATAGTAATAATAATAATAATAAAAAATCCCATTTCCCTGCTGTCAAGAAGGATGCAAGACTTAAACATATGTCCACCACACTGCAATAAAAATTGATTTGAACTGAGCTGAAAGCCGATAAGTAATAAGGATTTGTTGGCTTGCATCGGTTTTTGTCTGACAGCAGCAGAAGATAGCATCAAGCAGCATGTGCTGAAATACACTGTTACAAACTGCATTGGAGGCAAAATGAAGTGGTGGTCAGTGAGGGTGCACCCAGGACCCTGCAGATTGGGATGGGGCTGGGATGCCTGCAGGGCAGGGATGGATAGGAAGGGTGGAAACGGAGAGAAACTGAGAGCTGAGGAGAAAGGTGAACTTCTGCCTACATCTCCAGCCTCCTGCCCACGCGCTGGGAGCCCTGCAGAACCACAAGGCATGTTGGCATAGGCAAAGCCCAAGGATTTGAACTGAGGAACCATGTTCTGTTGTCAGCAGCTTTTCTTTGGACTCAGGTACTCTGCAGTGAGTTTTGCAATCTGATTCTGCAGGGAGAAGCTCACTTTGTTAGGTCGGGGGGGGCTCCTCAAGGGCCTGAAGATGTCACGTCATGCCATGTCCAACACTGCTGAAGTCCACATCTGAATCAGGTTTTAGCTCCCACAGAAGATAAAAAAAAAAGTAAATGCTTTGAGCTCTGCAGTCACAGATTTCTTCCCCCCCTGTTACCACAACATAAGGCACATTTGCATGTTCTCTAAAACTAGGTATTTTGGAATTAGAAAGAAAAAAAAACAGAATAGAAAGGAAACCCCAGGATCTCCCCAGTCCTGTAGTGATGTTCGGAGCCCAGCACATATGATAACAATGCATACCTTCCAGTCAACTTGTTCTATCCCCCCGTGCCCACACTGTGTCCAAGGGGAATGTCGTGTATGTGGTGGATGAGTGCTCTATGGTCCCTCATGTGTGCTGGATTGGGCTACGTCTCATCTATGCAGCTGGATGGGAGCTGCATTTATGGAAGCTTCTCCATCCTCTTCCCACAGGAAGCAGGGACAACAGCTGTGGCAAAAGGGTAAAGCCATGTTAATCTTGGGTTTATGACTGCTTTTTATTTTCTATTCTCTCTGCACACCAAAGCTCATAAAAATGCTATGGGAATCTGTGTATTATCTTGGAAATGGAGTGTTGGATCAACCCCTGAATTGTCTTATTGTGTTCAAGACCGTGGCCAACAAACCAATGGCTTCCTCAGCGCTCAGCTGCTGTCATTCCTGTGATCACAGACTGCATCATCCTGCCCTTGGATTTATCTCATTGCTCCCCAGCTATGCTGTGTGTGGCTGTGTTCCATCACACTTGTTCTTTGTGGAGCAACCTCCTGGGAGCCTTCCTTATGGGCATATTGGGGAACCACCAGACTACCTCTGCCCAGAGGTAGACTTTCTGGTGGAAGGAACAGCGTAGAACAATACAATCACTAAATCATTAAGTCTGAAAAAGATCTCTAAGATTATCTAGTCCAACCATCAGCCCATTGCCACCATACCCACTATCCATGTCCCTCAGTGCCACCACGTCCTTGGGCAGCATATTCTAGTGCATTACTGCTCTTCCAGAGAAGAATTTTTTCCTAATATCCAAATGGAACCCCCCCAGATGCAACTTAAGGCCATTACAACCTCCCCAGATGCAACTTAAGGCCATTACTTCTTATTCTAGTTTGTTGAACACTTTTTTTTTTAACACTTTTAAAACACTTCTGTGAAGATCTGAGTTATCTTTTGTGGTCTGTTGGAGCCCTCTGCCTTGGTTTTGCTCCTTCCCATGTTTGCTTCATTTTTGCAGTTGGACATACATCAGTTTATTGACAAACTCATATGGACAACTTAGCATTCAGGAGCTGATGTTGCTGATTCTTTCCTAATTTTTACAAATGTAGCCAATGTGGTTTTGTAATCTTAAGCATCTTTTCCAGATGGCTTGGCTGGCTCAGTTAATACTATATTACAAATGTGTGTAGTGTTTTTTCTAATGTACAGGGACTTGATCAACTGGAGTCATGGCAAAAAATCTCAGCACAGAAATGCCTTAGGAGCATATTCTCTTTTAAAGCAAATGTAATATGGACTAGTATTGATGAGACTGCTCTGTACCGATGAAGGTCAGGAGAAGGATTTTGTGCTGGCAGCAGTGATGCGCTCGGGAAGACAAGGAAGCTGTCAAACTGTGTTCTAGAAGGTGCCGGTTACCAAGTGGAATTTCACCAGTTTGGGCAAGTGTTGGGCTGGGCTCCTCCAGGACACAGTCTTGCAGTGTGGCCCAAGTATTTTCTTTTTGCCTTTCCGGAGTGAAGTGTTTGGTTTTTTTTTTTCTGGGTGAGTTCCCATTTCAGCTCTTAACAATTTCAAGTGGTACAAAGCAAAGTGTCAAATAAAATTGGAATGTTTCTCTGCGTCACAGTCCAAATTTTGAATAACAAACTCCAACACAAAATCCTTACCCCATCTCAGCATCCTCGCCCCAGCTCAACGTCCTCACCCCATCTCAGCATCCTCATCCAGACTCAGTAACCTCACCCCAGTGTGCCCACAGCCATCACTGCTCCCGCTGGGAGCTGGAAGCTGCTCCGTGCCGCCTGCTCATTTGTCCTATTCTCTGGGCTTGGCAGGTGGCATTTTTGCTCAGTGATTCATTCCCTGGCATATGCATTTATCTGGGCTGACATTTTAATCATGCAAATAAGGATCTCCTTAATGAAGAAAAAAATTAATTTCACAACTGTTGCTACAAACACAGTGACAGTCCTGCTAATGTCATTACATTCATAATACAATCAGTGGCTTTTCCATAATTACTATAAACTGGTGCACTTAGCAGCAGAGTAAAGGTTACACAAAGAGCTGCACGACTCCTCTTGTTCACTCTGGTTTTATCGAGAGTGTTTGGCACTCCTCTTATGCCCCTTTGAAATCTTTTGGTTATCGCTGCCTCATTGCTTGTACTGCAGATGGCTTTGCCTTTGTTGGAGGCACAGACAAAATAAGTGGCACAGAGACAACTCCTCCATGACCTTTATTGCTCCTTGTCTTTCAGATCCCAGCGTGCAGAGTAAACAAGGTGACTCATTCTCTTCTGGTAAATAGCTGCCTCCCAAGGTTTTGCTGCTGACAGGATTTTTTGTTTTTTTAACTGCACCCAAAGAACAGAGGGATGTGAGCTATGAACCACATAGGTAAACTCTGCCTCTGAATCCTTATAGGCTCAGTAGCCATAAGGAGAAAAAGCATTTTATAGTCAAAAAGCAGTGAGAATAAATGATTTCCTAATGGGAAAGTGCCTTCTCTCTTCCCTTTTTCCTTAGAGATGCTGTGGGTGAGATACTTGAGACCTTAATCCCAGAGACTGGAGGGATTGGAACCAATTGCAAACGATGCCCATCAGCCTCAAGTGTTTTAGGGCTGGGATTTCACCTTCTTGTTATCAAGGAAAGATTTAAGGTTGTTTGAAAACTTATTCCAAAATCAAGCTATTGCTGTTAAGATTGGGGCCACTTTTCACAGACATTTGAGGTTGTTCCTTTAAGATACAGTATCTAAAAGGGGGCAATAAGAAAGAAGGGGACAGACTCTTTAGCAGGGTCTGTTGTGGTAGGACAAGGGGAAATGGTTTCAAATTATTAAAAGAGAGATTTAGATTGGATATAAGGAAAATGTTTTTTATGATAAGGGTGGTGAAACAGTGGAACAGGTTGCCCAGAGAGACTGTGGGTGTCCCATCCATGGAGACATTCAAGGTCAGGCTGGATGGTGTTCAGAGCACTTGGTGGAGCTGTAGGTGTGTCCCTGTTCATCGCAGGGGAGTTAGACTAGATGACCTTTAAAGGTTCCTTCCAACTCAAAAGATTCTATGACACTGTTTTATGACACTTCACATGGTAATGTCAGCCTTTCTGTTTCATTTTCACCAGAATGGGAAGAGTTCTCCTGGTGGCAGAAATGCAGGATATACATTATTCATCTGGCAGAGCTGTCAGGGACTGCAAGTTTGCTGCAAGACCTTTGGAATTTCACAACAGCAAAAGAAAAGTAAGAGAAAACCAAGAGAAGGGAGAAAAAGCACAAAAGGAGGGAAAGAATGAGAGGATATTGCTGGGGAGGTTCTGCTTGTTGGTGGGAAATTTAGAAGCTCTTCCTGGACCACTTTGGCCATCTCTACACTTACTGAGGACATAATATATTTAATTGATGTACCTAAGGTGGAGAAGAGCTGGTGTAAATCATAGAATTATAGAATGATTGAGTTTGGAAAAGACCACTGAGATCATCAGGTCCAACCATAGCCCACCACCCTGCCCACTAACCATATCCCTAAGATGTAGCATTGCAGCTGCATGGGACAGGTGGAACCTGCATCCTCAGCAGCAGCCCTTGCTGTATCTGACCATGGAGTTTGCATGAGCTTGGTAACAGCTCCATGAAAGAAAAATCCCTGTGTGTGTCCATGCTGAGCATGTTCCTTGTAGGTTTCTCCCGCTGGGAGAAGGAGCTGGGGCTGGATCACAAGGAGGACAGAAGGGGCTGTAAGGGATGTTCAGAACAGGAGGGAAAGATATTAGGCACTGAGAGGTGGCACTTGGTCGGTCAGCCAGGTGAGGGCATACAACCAGCAGCCATCTGCAGCCTGATGATGAATGCACGTGGGCCAACAGTTGTGCATTCATTGTTCATCTTGCTTGTAATGGATGCACTTTTTGTAAGAGGGAAAAATCTATAAAACACTGCTGTTCAGCACAGATGGTCATTGTCACTGCCTCACTGCCCCGAGAAGAATCATAAACCTGCACTTCAAAAAGATTTTTCCAGTGACACTGTAAAGGCTCAGAATCAGAGGTAAGGCCACAGTGCTGCCCTGCAAGATCATTTTGTGTCTATCAAAGCGACACCCAAGCCAGGCTATGAAGCCTGTGTTAGTCCTCAGGGCATTTTCTTTGCCATGTTCCTATCCAAGGAACCTGCAGCCCTGGTGGAGGGTTGCACTCCATGTAATAACCAAATCAGTGCTTCGTTTGGCTTCCAAGAACTTGGAATATGCTGTGTCAGTGAGGGATCCCTTGGGGATCCTTTCCCATAGTTTCTTGCTGGTTTGTGAATTGATTTTGGGGTTTTGGGATCAGACATAGGAAACACAGCTGTAGCTTACAGCCCCATCAGCAGGGTCAGCTTCCCTGGCTGGAGGATGGGAGGCAGCAGGGAGGGCACCCATGCACAGAGCTGTGCTGTATGTGCAGTCCCCACAGCCAGAGGCACATTGTAAGCTTTGGGTCCTACCATGAACCACCAGATACAACTTCCTCTGGAGTCAGTGGGAATTTGCCAGCACGAGGAGCACAATGTGATGGAAACAGGAGACACTGCGAGTTCACAGGGGACTTGAATTAAAAGTTTGTTAGGACATAGTCTATATTAGTTAACTACATTCAGATAATCATTTTCCAGGCATTCAAGGCCAGGTTGGATGGGGCCCTGGGCAGCCTCATCTGGTACCAGATCTGGAGGTTGGTGGCTCTGCCTGTAGCAGGGAGCTGGAACTTGATGATCCTTGGGGTCCTTTCCAACTCAATCCATTCTATGATTCTATGATTCTAATCATGTTCCAAGTACCTAGTAATTTCCATGACAGCAATGTGATCAATATCTGGCACATGTTGGTATCCAGCCTTTGTGTTAGTAAGAAATCTATGTCTGGGTTTCAAAAGCATGTTTCCAAACCTTTACTTGGAGTGGTCTGAATAAAAGTAAATGTGCTTCCATAGAGCACATTAAAAACATACAGAAGATGTTTATGTCCAAGCTTGAGCCGTCGGTCTCACTTCCATGATCCCTGCGAGCCCCTTACAAGCCCTGCTGTATGCTCATGGCAGTGCTGGTCACAAGTGCAGCAAGCAGAGGTGAGTGATGTGGAGTTATTAACAGAACATTTGGCCTTGGGAATAGAAATCAGCATGTGAGCAGTCAGAGCAGGGTCTGCTTCTGCCTCCCTCCCTCCCCTCCCTCCGCCTGCAAGGACAAGAAAGCTGTTAGCTGGTGCGTCACCTGCAGCCAATAAAAGTGACATTTCTTGGGCACATCACGCAGGGGAGGCTGAGATGTTTTGATCCATCTTAGGCAAGACTGATGGCAATTTAGAGATGTTTCTGTCTGTGCTGAGATGGCTGACGGACGGAAAAACTGCCAGTGAAGAAACAGCCTTGTACCAGGAGTTTTGCTGAAAAAGGCAGAATCTGATTTTTAGTTAACTCAGCGTCAGAATGGAAAACCCAAATGCTTACTTGCAAGAGTTGTTGGTTTTTTTTTTTTTTTTTTTTTTTAATGCACAGAATAATATTAGGAATTGATCTGAAACCTAGAGGACCTTCAGTCCATTGTCATTCTGACCTATCAGCTTTAAATCCAGATATTCATTGTTCTATAAATACGCAAAATATTGCTAATTCTAGCATTTGATATAATTTAATATTGTAACACATTGATTAAATAAATGAAAAACAATATATATATTCTAGCTACAGACATTCCTGTGTCATGTCAAACTGCTTGGAAAGCACAGCCATCCCAGTGCAGGCGCATGGGTCAGCAGCTGGCTGCAGCTTTGCATTCCCCATCCTCTCTTCTTGGTCTTTTTCCCTCTTCCAATCCTCCTCTGTGGATGGAAAAGCAGCATTGTGAGCCTCTGAAATTCAAAGGAGACCTTAGAACTGGACAACCTCTCCCTTCTGGAGCCCACGCTGCCCAGGGTGCATTTTGTTTCATTCAGAAACAGTTCTGTGAGACTGCAGTAGCAAAGAGCCAACACTAGATAGCATTTCATGTTTGTTTTGAGGAAGAAAAGCCTTTTGTTCTCCTACTGTAGATTCAGAAAGAACTGAAGCATGTTTTAAATGTGATGAATTGTTAATATTTTCTGGTGATCTGTGCAATATCTCCTATACATTCAAAACAGCAGGCAACAAGTCTCTCTTTTTCTATTGTTTTCTGTTGTTGTTGACATCACTGCATCTGTACAGAACCGAGCTGAGTTTATGAAGTGCCTCATGCCATTTTGCCTCTAGGTGCTGATGTAAGAGGCTTATGTTTGATCTTTGCGTAGGCATGTTCCTGATCCTATTAACATTGCATGTGAAATCCCCACCAGGCTGGGATCTAACCCCTTCTGTATGTAGGTACCACAAGCACTAACAGATAAGCAGTGAAGGAATAGTTCTCATGACATACAAGACAACAGAAAACAGAAAACAGGACATGGCATACACTGCCTCTCTGGGCAACCTGTTGCAGCTCTTCATACATTTTTTTGTAAAATACTTCTTATATCCAATCAAAATCTCCTCTCTTTCAGTTTGAAACCATTTCCCCTTGTGCTGTCACAACGGATCCTGCTCAGCAATGTGTCCCCTTCTTTCTTGTAGCTCCCTTTAGATACTGAAAGGCCACAATCAGGTCTTCCCAGAGTTAGGAGGTTGAGGTTCCGCTGTCCTTAAAAGATGGAGCTTGAAGTTCCTTTTGTATGGGTTTGTACATTTCTCATCAGCCTTGCTGCCCCGGGACCTCATTTTTCAGAGTTGCTGTGGATATGTAGCACATTCACTGGACCCTGGGGGTGCTTTAGAACTGCCAAGAAACCATTGCTCTACCTGGTGCTCACACTGTGCGTGCAGGAAAACCACAGGGATGGGAGTGGAGCAACAGAGGAACCAGCTGCTCCCTGAGGAACAGCCAGCCCCAACTGATCTGCTGGGAGGGAGGTTGCCTGCAGGCCTTCATCTTAGTGGCCCTCCTCTGGACTTGTTCCAAGAGCTCAGCATCTTTCTTGTACTGGGGTCCCCAGGCCTGGACGCAGTACTCCAAAGAGCCAAGCAAAGGGGGACAATCACCTCCCTCTCCCTGCTGGCCAGCCCTTTTTTAATGCAGCCCTGAACTCAGTTGGCCTTCCGGGCTGCAAGTGCACACTGCTGGCTCTTGTACAGCTTCTTGTCCACCAGGACCCCTAATTCCTTCTCTGCAGGGCTGCTGGCAAGGAGATCTTTGCCCAGTCTGTATAAACACCTGGGGTTGCCCCGACCCAACTGCAGCACCCTGCACTTGGCCTTATTGAACCTCATTAGGTTCACATGGGCCCACTTCTCCAGCCTGTTTAGATCCCTCTGGATGGCTTCCATTAAAATATACATTTTGTATATTGCACACAAAGAGGTGCTTGATACTCTCTGTGCTGTAACTCCTGAAATGCAGCATGCTGTAGAAAACAGCTTCAGTTTTGGACAAAGGATGCTCCCTTCCCTCCTAACAAAGCACCAGAGAGTAACCCTGTGGCTGAAAGCAACACAAACTTGGAATTGATTCCTAAATATGCTTTTAGGGGTAGCAAAGCCACAGCCTCAGGATGAGCAATAGTAAAATGATTACTCAGAATCTGTTCAGATTTGGGAGTGCTACAGAAAGGTGGACATTTGAGAGTTCTCTGTGTTGCTGTTTTACATCAGGTGTGTATGAAGTTGTCACACACAGCTGAGGAAATCTTTCACCTATTTAAGAGAGATGTTTTGTGCTATTTGTGTGAGCTGCAGTTTGCATGGCAGAGCAAAAAATGCAGTCCTGATGATCACTTAGCCCCCTGGTCTATTTGTAGAGCAGGGTCTTCCCCTGTTAAATGCAACTACAGCCAGTATTACTTCTTGTGCTAAGCCTATATTGCACTGAACATGTTACCCTTTGGTTTTCACAGAATCATAAAATGATTAAGGTTGGATAAGACCTCTAGGATCATCTAATCCAACCATCAACCCCCTCCATCATGCCCACTGAACTCCGTGCCACATCTCCATGGGTCTGGAAGACTTCCAGGGATGGTGACCCCTCCACCCCCTGGGCAGCTGTGCCAGTGCATCACCACTCTTTCACAGAATAACTTTTCCTAACATCCAACCCGAACCTCCTAGAGGCCATTACCTCTCACCCTACCATGAAGCATATGGTGTTATAAACAAAAATTTATTGTTTTTCTTCTTCATTTTGCATTTAAGAAAACAAGGAGGAAAACATACAAAAGGGTGCAGCTGCTGAGGCAGACTTGAATTCCCCCAAAATACCCAAATGGCTCTGTAGCCAAGCATCCCTGCGCAGGCAGCCACACTGGGATCAGATGTCATTCATCTTTTACATCTTTTGCCTAAGGACAGAACTATAGGACAACTTTTTCTTCCAATTAAGGTCCCAAATTTGAAATTGCAAGTAATTTTTCCATCTCATAACACATTCTCAAGTAGAAGATGAAAATATCAGGGAAGGGGGAAAAATCTCCATTTTTCTTGGTCAAATAAAAACTTATTAACAAAAGGCTGTAAGTAAGGAGAAAGTGCAAATGGAAGGTTGTTTGGGCTACTTTGACATATGTCTTTGCAGGATTTTATTTGCTGCAATTAGCTTTTACAGGCTTCTGACTTACTCATTCCTTTTGCTTTCTTATCACATTTATCATGTTTAATAGACTCGAGGTATAATAAGCTCACTAATTCGCTTATAGTAAAACCATAGCCGTACCCAAAGCTAAAGAAAGTGGGAACATACTGCTGAACTGTAGGGGGTAATGTTGCTACACATACTCTGCCTGCCAGCTGCAAGAGGTAGATAAAGCTATTGGCTGTGTCATTATGTGACAAACTGGATCTCTGTGGAAAGAATAAGAGCACGCTGTTACTCCTAGCAGCCTCCTCCCTCCTTCCTGTCAGTGTCTCATTTGCAAACTGTGGCACTTTGTTTCTTCAGATCTTGCACCAATACCTGTGCACTTACCTTAGGAAAAGCAATGCTGGACTTCCATGTGCGACCCAGGCAATGCACAGAGCGCACTGAGTCCTGGCTCTCTCAAGGACAGCTTTCTCTAGTGGTCTCACAGCCTTGACTGCACTCTTACTACTGCAAAGCAAAGCGCAGTGATGGGTGCTGGAGCTCAGATTCTTCTGAGGAACACAAATACCTGTTCAGAGAGCTGTATGGGAAAGTAATGGTACCTGGCAATGGCAAAAAAGCCCTGGTGCAGTCTGTCTGATATGGCAGGCCCAAGATGCCCAGGAATTGGGTTTTCACCACTTCTTCATGTAGCATCTGACACACTGGGGCTCTTAGGTCTGATCACAGCATAGCTGATGTGGGCAAAATAAAGCTGCTCTTAAGGCAGACTGACTGACAGACTTGTCATGGTGAAAGTACACATATTTGAAATGTTATGGCTGTGTTCTTGGAAACTCTAACTAGGGTAAGCTATTTCCTTGAATTCATGGGGTAAAAATAGAACCTGCTTTCAGACAGTGGATTTGACAGCTGTGAGGATATAGTATAGATGTCTCCAAAAGCATGATACAGTTTTTTGCTTTGTACACCAAATAATAATAGGATTTGTTATGGAAAGAAGGGATGACGAGATTTGAATTCCTAGGTACAAGGGGAAGAGCATGGTGGGGGATTACAGCTCAGTGGAACTAACAGAAACCATCGGCCATGCTTCTCACTTCAAGCTACATCACTACTTTCTCATGTTCTGCATGGATCCAATGACTGTCACCTTGCTGCTCACTGGGGCTCCTTGAAAATCATAGAATCACAGAATCATGGAATGACGTGGGTTGAAAAGGACCACAATGCTCATCCAGTTCCAACCCCCCTGCTATGTGCAGGGTTGCCAACCACCAGACCAGGCTGCCCAGAGCCACATCCAACCTGGCCTTGAATGCCTCCAGGGATGTGAAATGCGGTGCTGTTTTGCTGAGCCTGAAGTGCTTTGCCTTTCTTTGTGGACAAGTGTTTGAATAGATTCATAGAATGACTTATATTGGAGTGGACCTTAAAGATCATGTAGCTCCAACCCCTCACCATGGGCAAGTTACTCCCATGGCATACTCCCATTGCAGGCTGCAGAAACAGGTGGTGGCATTGCTTCTCACTCCTCAAAAAACCACCCAGAGATGATCCCATCCTTTGGTAGCTTGCTTGAGTGGCCAATCACTTTCCCCAAGAAAAAGCTGTGATGTGCATTTTAGTGGAAATGGTCTGCCCTTAACTTCCAGCCATCGGTTCTGATTTAGTCTGAGGGCTTCCTTCCTTTAAGGGTATTTGTGCTCTGGGTTCACATCACTTTGTAAGCTTTTCGATGACGTCGAACAGATGGAGCTTCTCAGTTCTTGTACTACTTAGGTATCTTACTCATTTCTCAAATCTTTCTCTGTTTGTTTTTTGAACTTCATGTCAAAAATGTTGCCAGTGAAAACTGCATTCAGTATTTTAGTTTTTGTACTCAGTCTCACCGTTGTTACATATATACAGGTAACAGCTCTCTGTTAATGTTACTTTTAATTTTCAGATGTCTTTTTCCATCTCCCTTTTCATGAATATTTTTTTCTACATTACAGAATCACAGAATGACCAGGGTTGGAAGGGACCTCAAGGATCATGAATCTCCAACCCCCTGCCACATGCAGGGCCACCAACCTCCACATTTAACACCAGACCAGGCTGCCCAGGGCCCCATCCAACCTGGCCTTGAACACCTCCAGGGACAGAGCATCCACAGCTCCCTGGGCAGCTGTTCCAGCACCTCACCACTTTCTCTGTAAAGAACTTCTCCATTGTTTAAGGAAAAACAGCATCGAGCTATTTACACATTGTAAGTTCTTAGATCTTTTCCAAGATGCAGATTTATAGGACAGAACCACCTACTCTTTAGATTTGCCCTCACAGCTGTATTCCAATCCTTATGTATTTGGTTTTATTTATTTTTATTTATATAAACTTTGTTCTGTATAAAAAGATAAAGCTTTCCAAGAAATCCTGACACCTTTGTGTGATACTGCAAGTGCTGCTGCATTCTTCTGACTTCTGCACCAACCATCCTTCTTGTCCCTCTTGATATCAGATGATCCTCTGAATTTATGAACTGAGAAATACTGGCAACAATCAGAGTGCTTTCCTAGAGAATATTTCTTTCTTTTTTTTTGTGAGCTTACAAGTTGAGCTGACAGAGGTCAACTGAATGCACTGCAGTTGCCCTTTTAAAATATTTGGCACCATCACATACTATGTTTTTACTAAAACTTTTCATTAAGAAAATGATACAGCATAGTAAGAAGATTATAAACTATGTGTCTAATCTCAAAAAGTAAGTAAATCTTTTCAATTAGGAGTTATTAGCTAATTTTTGGGCTTTGTATACCTTTGCCCAAGACTTATAAATATATTTACAATAGAGTTACAGAGCAATCATTAGTTGAGAAGAAAATAAAAAATATTGGTGAAAAATATCCAGATGATAGAGTGATTGTTGGCATGGTGATAACCTAGACATATCATTTATGTAGCATGGCCTTACTCAGTATTTGGAACATAATAAAAGAAAATCTGTGATTTTAGTGTTGAAGTACGTACATCATGCTGACAAGACAATGGACTGGATCCTGGAGAAGATGGATTCCTGAAAACTGGAGGGAATTCATGAAGCCATTAGTGAATCTGTAGGTAATACAAGTGTTTCAAGTGAGACTCAGAAATTACGTAGGTGTCCAAATCCAAAACTGTGATTCTGACTGCCCTCCTCAGCATTTGGGTAAAGAGCATTTTTGTGTCTTCTAAAGTTGTTTACTATTTTACTTTAAACCTCGCTGTCCTGAGGTGAGAACAGGAGAATGACTATTGGGCAAAGCATCACCCGGGCCTGTATCCCACCAGTGCTGGCCAACAGCAAACGCCTGAGAGAGCAGGACAAGTGGTGATATTTCCCAAAAAACACCTTGCTATGACTATGGACCTTCCTAAACTGAAGGAGTGATTTTGTGCCAAATGACCTGTATGGGATTCTTCTGCCACACTTGTGTCTGCTGGCCCTTGGGAACGCCTGGTACCCACCTCATCCTCTGACCAACCACAGCTTAATAACCTGCTGCACAAATAATGACCTTCTCATACCCTGCTGTCTGCTCGTGCACACCCCTGCCATGGGTTACCACTCATCACTGACCTCAACCTGGACATGCAACATTGACCGCAACCCTCTGGCTACAACCACCCAACCAATTCTTTGTCTGCCTTGCACAAGTCCAGACAGACGACATCAGCTGCCCTGCCTTTGTCCACCAATGCCATCACTCCATCATAGAAGGCGTGTCAGAAGTGGGAACATCTAACATCAGCAGGATGGGGCTTTTCACAACATCTCTAAGCGATTCCTTTTGCAATGTGTCTGATAAAGGAAGTAGCAGTTGTGCAACATCTTGCTGATTGATGAGCAGAGCAGAGCAGAACATGGAACATATCACATGGGGTGTTGCCTTTCTGTATCTTGTTTTATGATAAGGAACAATCTGCGTAGTCCAACAGAAAGCCAAACGTGCTTATCTTTGGGGTGATGCTCAAGGCTGTGCATCTTGAATCAGGTCCTGTGTCAGGTTCTGGATCTTGCTGCACAGATAGCTATGTATTCACACAGAAAATGCACAGAGTACAATTAATTTTCTTTTTTTATTTACTCATATCATTATCAAAGTACCTCAGAACCTCTGTCAAAAACACAGACTTTGTAGTTCTTGCTGCTGCATATACAGAGATGATGTAATTTGCCAGCAGCTTGTGGTTTCAGATTAAGAAGAACTGATACGCAGATGAGCAAATACAAAGAAACAGCTTTAGCAAATGCCTAGGTAAAACAGAGCCAGAGACTACTTACAACTACTTACAAATGCTGCCCTCCTCCCCATGCAGAAGAACCCTCCACTCCACTTCATTTGCAGAGCCAGCTGAAGTTGCTAAGAAACAATGCTCTTACCCAGCATGTGCCTTGCTCAGAGCACCATCAGTGAGGACAAGGTGATGACAGCTTTGACATGCAATATTCGCAGCTGTGGTGCAGAAGGAATGCAGTGTTGACACCCAAGAGAGCTCGTGGCTCACCATGCTGGGATGAATCCTGGCCTGCCCACAGACCTGAAGCACAAGGGAAGATGCTGTGCTCCCTTCTGCTTTCTTATTCCATGCTGCTGCAATGGCCACATCTCCCACTTGTAATGCTAAGACCTTCCCTTAAGGGTAGCACAAAACAACAAGTTCCTCTACATTCACTTCCATTCCCTTCTTGCCTTTCCATTCCTCCGCTTCTCCAAAGAAAACTGCAAGTCTTCGCTTCTTCCTGAGACATCAGTCACCCCATGGTGACTGATCATTAGGTGACCTCATCATTAGGCTTTGTTTTCAATCCGTGCTGCCTCTGATCCAAGGCTGTAAGTTGATGTTAGACACCTGGAACTATGGTCAAGCAAAGAGCCTGGAGCTGCCAACCAAAAACAATGAATTTCATTATGGCGTGTGACCACTTACTGATGGTCCCCTCCAGCAAAGTCCTGTATTTTTTTTTCTTTCCCACCTGTATTTTGGGTTGATCCTAATACTATCCTGAAGCCCCAGACCAATAGGCATTTGTCCTGGAAATGTCAGTGTTCAGCATCTTTGCTCTCTGTGATAACTGTGACCTGTGCATAGCTCTGAAGTCAGATCTCCTCCCATAGGATGTAGAGAATGGACACACTTCATTCTTTGACAGGGTACCCAATGGTGGCAATCCCATAAATCCTTCCTTCATCCTCCAGGAAGGGACTCTACAGCCAAATGAAAAACCTGCGGTGAGGTGTCACATATGGGCGTTTCCATGGGAGTCATAGCTCCTGTTTCTGTCAATAGATTCAATCAACAGAGCAATGTGTGTGCTGGCTTGCTTCAGAGTGGACTGCAATGCTCCCCAGAGCCCACTGACTCCAGACAGTGCTGACATGTAAGTCTAGGTGTCTTAATTTGCAGTGTGAATCATATCCACAGCAGCACTTCTGCTGTGATCTTCTGGCTGTAGTTATTCATCCTCGCCCACCTGCTAGATAAAACAGCAGTGTTTTTGTAGATTTAAATATATGCTGGTAGATTTTCAGTTGTTTATTTTAAATAATACATTACATCCAGATCTGGAGCGATTCTAAGCTAGCAAGTATCCCTCTAAATCAAGTGGCACTTCCTGGATATCTTTAAACACCCAGAAGTGCCAGGCCATGACAGAAGATAAAGATAAGCCACAAACTTTTTCTGGTGAGCTGCAGCACTATGGTCTCCAGCAGCTGAGCTTACCATGGGCTGACCCCTTTCTCATCATGATTTGCTCTTGTGCTTGTTCTTCATTAACATCTTTTGTAAACCTTTTGATTTGTTGAAAGCGGTCATTTGTTTTCAGGCTGGGAGCACTGCTAGATGTGGCCAATAGTGGAGCAGTGCTTCAGAGCTCTTCTAACTTGCAAAGTCCTGATGATGGATGTAATCAGCAGCACCCCATGAGATTGTAGGTGTACTCAGGTGCCTTCCATCCACCTGAAAGGAACAGCTGGAATGAAGGGGCTATTTTAAATTAGCCCTTCCAGTGCTCTTTGTTCATCTTTCAGTTGTGCTGTTCAGCACAGGGCATGGCCAGTGAGCAGGGTAGGTGGCTGGACCAGACAGCTGGTGTAATACTGTATCTTTCATGGACTGACAGTATTTTCACAGCCTTGCTGAAGACGGAGGGAGATAGTTCGTCATTTCTGTGACTTCTTCTGGAGCTGATGAGGAGATTAACCTGTAACAAAGCTTTGTTTTGATGGACCAATACTGTGGTTAAATAAATCTATTGCAAGTTGCTTGGGCTGATGAAGTTGCCTTGTGATTAGATTAACTGCTGATTAGATTTTGATGGGACCTGGAAAGAGTGTGAGTTGTAGGGTGCATTTTAAAAACACTGTGCAAGGAATTAATTCTCTGTTCTCACTCTTCTATTCTGTTCTATCCTAGCCCTTAATTCTCTATTCTTTGCTTTAAAAACCTGCCCTAATGACTGCACAGTGAATTGATTAACAGGCTAACGCTTATTTTTATTCACATAAAGAGTAGTACTGTGTTGGTTTTCTCAACATGGAGGAGACAACCGCACCCTTGTAGGGTGTGTGTACAAGTCTTAAGGCATGCTTTACCTGCCAGGTGAGCCTGCAATCCTCATCTGACCGATAACAGCATCAGCAGAACCAGTGAAAAGAGACAAAATGGCCAAAGTACGAAGAAATGATGGGCACAAACATTCAGCAGCTCTGCGGTCTTGTGCGGGAGGAAATCTTACAGAGGGCTGAAGCTGTGTGAGTGACATATACATGACACAAGCAGTCTTAAAATCAGTTTTTCTGGTCCAGAAGAGCAGAGTGGCTGGGTTTGCTCTCAGGAAGTGTTGCTGCACTGTAGAAGTGGTTTCACATAGATGCATGGGAGGATGGACCTTGGGGAACACAGAAGCAGAGGCCAGCTGCAGCACTGAAATCTGATGCAGCAGTTAATAAACCAGTAACTTTCTCCACCAGTGACTAGAACACCAAGATGGAGATAGGGCCAAGGCAGAGTTTTCCTACCCTCAATCCCACACCCTCTTCTGTTTCCCCTGCCTACATCAAAGGGAGCAAAACTTGGTGGTTTCTCTCTAGCTCAGCCTGGCTCCATCCCTTGCAGCCTTGGCTGCATCCCAGCAGGACGTGCATTGCACTGGCTGCATAAGAACCAGAGGCTGGATGGAAGGCACGAGCTATTCACTTTCACCAAATGATGAATGGTGGCTGTCACTGCCTCCATCGATAGCAGCTCTCTGTAGCTGTCAGACATGCACCATTTTGTAAACCTGATCGTGTTTACATTAGCAGTGTTTTATGAGCCTCATCACGTTGCAATGTAAATATTTCTGCAGCAGCTGCTCCCTGAGGAGTGACGTGGTGGGGTGGTGTTGAACAAACACCAGCCACAGACTTCAGTACATGCATATCCTCCAGGAAGGAGCCAGAAAACACAAGTGCACCAGGAATTAGATGAAGAAGCTTGAAGTCTTTGGTAAGAAATTTCAGCCATCTTGAATGTTAGAATAGGCAGAGGTTTCATACTAGTCTATCTTTTCTCTTATGAAAATAGCACGTCACTTAGAAAAGGAGGCTGGCCATCTGGCTACGAGATTTTGTCTGAGATGCTTCACTTGCATGTTGATCATGAAGCACTGAGCTTGTGTCACCTGCTGTACAGGTATGACTATCCTGCTATGACATATTCGATTTCCACTGCAATTAGTTTTTGCACGCACCTCTCCTTTGGCTGTGACGGTGGGGTTTGTAATGGGGAGCAGCCTTGGCACAGACGCTCTCTGGTGTCCTCTCCAGCACGATGCTGGCACACCAAGGGAAAAAGCAAAATGAACATTCAGAGCAAATCCTAGTTTGGCCATCATGAGAAACAGAGCAAAACTCCAAGTCTAATATATAACATTTTTATTTTCACTTTGTTTAAAGCATGAAAGCATAGCAGTGATAGCTTTCTGAGTGGCAAAACCCCAGCTGGTATCTGAAACCTAATGGCTGTAATTCAGATGTAGATATTTCTCCTCAGAGATCAGAAAAAATCCTCTCCTAGCCAGATAATAAAGGGAGACAAATTATATTGTTTGCTGAGAGTCTGAACCAGGTCCATGGCATTACTCTGGGAGATCCTGACAACATGATGCACCATCTACAGCGACTATCCTACATGATGGTAGCAATTACATCAAATTGTCTCCCCAATCTAGACCCCAAACATAGTTTACTATTTTTTTTATTTTTTTATTTTTGCAAATGAAGAACAAAATGCTGTGTTAAAGATTATATTTCCTATATTCCAATGAGAAGTGATGTGAACATCTACCAAGCATAGGGTAAGTCTTGGTCTCCCTCTAGTGATGGACCTACCAACAGCAATGATCAACCCAGCTGCAGCCTCACACTTCCATCCTTTGCCTCCATCACTGGCTTCATGATGTGGTTGGTGGCCAAGGGTAGCTCTAACCCTTCTCAAGACCAGCCAAAATCTCACAAAGATACTTCCTGATGTAGCATGCGTGATGATGGCTGATGATGCAACCTACAACACAAGGCTCGATGCATTCTGGCTTACAACTGTGCTTATATTTTGTATGCGGATTGCTAATCTGTGCAGGACTAGGAGACGTGAGCTTGTACCTCCCATTGCTGGAGAGATGTCATGTAAGAAGCCCACCACTGCACCCGGTAGCACTTTCCACCTCACAGAAAGGCAAAGATAACCAAGACACACACAGAGGTGTGTGGCACTTCAGCAAGACAAGGGGGCAGAGCTAAACTACCAGTGCTCCTCCTCTCTAGACATACCCACCTCTGACAGTGACTGCTGGAGGAACTGAAGGTCCTGAAGTTGCCATGGAACCACCTGGGTAGGAGCCCACGCAGACTGAACTGACATGGTGCATCTATGAGGCTCAGAGTACCCAGAGCATCTCTGGTGCTGGGTTATGAAGTAGCTCAGCACACACCCCTGTGAAATCCATAAGGATGCAGTTGAAGACTTTGGGCCATGTGTTGCAGGCTAATTTCTTTGGTAACTGTGATATGGTTGTGCAAGGGCTGCATGGGCTTGATGGTATCAGCCCTAATACCTACTAAATTCTAGAGCAAATCTTTTAGGTTGTCTCTTCTAGTGCTTCCAATTTTCATTCTGAGCTTTGTTGTAGGACATGATTAAAATGAGAAAGTTTCTGGAAGTCTTGCTCTTTAGAGGGATAAGCAAGGAGAAGATGCTTTGAGCAATACATCAATATTGCCTAGAGTGATGATTTAAAAAATAAGCAAGTGATACTGTTTAAATGCATGATTTAATTTTCTCTATATATATTTTATTTTTTAATTATTTTGGCTAAGGAATTTCCTAGTGGAAAAGTATCCATAAAGTTGGTAGTAACACCTGGATGCCCACCTTGACATGGATATGATCTTGCACTTAAATGACTTCAGGTCAGGAACAGAGAGAGAGTGCTGTATAATTGAAAGAGATGTTATCATTTGGAAAATTAACAAAATAAATGATGACATTTTTATGCACTAGTTCTTCTGTTTCCCTGCCATGCAACTGACTCACTATGGCAGTAACTTTTTTTTTCTTTACTGTCTTTTCTTCTGTTGGGCTGCTAAGTGGGAGAACATTTGAAAATGAGCAATTCCTGAACTCTTAGTTTTTATATACTAAGATTTTGACATGTTCAGACCTTTGTCATGGCTCTAAATAGACCTCAAATGCTACATCTTAAAATCCATTGGAATTGCTAAAGGCACTGATGGTACAAATTGATAAAAGCCCAGAGTTAAACGTCTCATTCATAAAATCAAAATTATTCCAAGTAAAGACAGCACTCAGGACGTGTTTTAGGAGTTCATGAACTGAACGCTCATCTTTGTCAGATGGCCTACCACATTCCTTCCTCTTCATTTCTTCTGAAGAGAAGCAGATGAAAGGGGGTGTTCCATACCTCAAATTGCCTCTTCTGTATTCAGTGGGCTGAAATACTGAAAGAGGAAAGGGTGTTATGGCAGACAGAGGATCCTCAGACAGAGGATGGTGCCTTCTTTACCAACCAAACTGCCTTAGCTGTAGTTATTCCAATAAGCTTCTTGAATGTGCCTTTAACTGTTCCTGGCTTTTACAGAAAGAACTGGAAAAGAAGTATTAGGTTTCACAAAGAGGGTCAAGCAGTTCTGCATCAGAATGACACCAAGGACTTTCTAGATCCTTCACGATGAGGCACATTAAGTATGGAGCAAGTGAAAAGGTGGTGAAGAACAATAAAGCTCTCAAGTAGAGAGCAACCAGCAACCTCAAAGGTCACAGCTATGGGAGCACTGCTGTTGTACATATTGAGATGTGTGAGAGATTTGAACATGGGTCATTTGAGTTAGGAAAATGCCTGATGTTCTTGGGATGTGATTTTAAGCCTGAAAAACCCCTTTAACAACCATCCTGTTGAAACAAAGAATGTTTTTCCTTACACAGCTTTGCTTTTGTACTTAAAGCTATTATCCTCAGAAATATCTCAATTTTGTATTGATTTATTTTCTGCCTAAATCTCCCTGATCCAGCAAAAGGGAGAAGAAAGCCTGGCTGATGCCCTCTTCTAGTACAGCTTCGCCAATCTTCAGAGCAAGATGGGAATGAAAATAGAGAAAACCCCAAGGACAACCCTGGGGGGTTGATTTGGTGCTGACCTAATGGTGCTGAACACAAGTGCTGATGAAAGAGGTGCTGGATCCAAATAAACCATTGGTGAAATGTAAAGGATGTGTGAGCACCCAGTACTTCATCACTGTTAGCACTGCAGTATGGAGGTGTGAGTGAAGGCCCACAGCCTTCTACTGAGCTATGAACAGAGTTGAAAACAGGGACTCAACCTCCAGCTGCTGCAGTTGGGACTTTCTGCCAGGAAAAGTCAGTGTGACTGTGGATGAGCCACTGAATGAAAGGCAGTTTTGGTGTTTGCGTGCTTGTTCAGATACTCACTGCCATATATGCTCAGCAGAATTTTGAACTTTGAGTTCCTAAGTGGCATGTGAAACCTTCCCAAGCACATTAATTTATTCACATACCTTTTCTGAGTTTATTAGAGGAATTAAAGAGAAAGATGATACCATGGCCAGAAGGACCAAAGGGAAGGATGAAGCAGCTGATAATCCCATCAGGAGCATATTAGACATATTTCATTAACGGTCAGATAATTAAAGCGGAAGATGTGAGACACAAATTCAGTCCATGTTTGATCAGAAGCTATGAATTTTGCTCTTTGATCCTGATAAAAGGTAAAGAAAAACAGTTTAAGAAAAGAATGGAGGAATATCCCTATTAACATCAAATATGAGACCCCTGTTATGGTAAGGAAAGGAAATGTAGATGGCAAAGATCAAAGGTGTATTCTGTAGAAACAAATGCTGTGTTACATAAACTTTGCTTTTTCAAAGTGGTGATTTCAGTTTTGCAGAATCCTTTTGAGAAACACACCAGAAAGTTTGGAATTTTTGTGGGCTAGAAACTGGTAGGAATTGAAAATAAAAATGCAAGAAGGTGCATTCTGGAAAGATGGTATTTCAAAAGATGGTCAGAAAATTGTTTTTGCTTCTACAGGAGCTTGGAGCTGCATAACAAAAATTCAAATACTGAAACTTTTTTTGCTTGAAAACCATGTAGCCAGTGGGGCAAACCTCCAGACATTTCACACCTTGACGCTGCTGGCAGCTGCACTCTTGCAGACACGCAGGGTTGGAGCCAGTCGTGTTTCCAGGCTGGGGTTAGGTCACTGACACGAAGCTCAGAGATGTGCAGCCCTGCAGCCCCACTGCAGCCGTACTGTGGGCAGTGGGCGTTTGATGCCAACTGCATCTATGCGCCAGACCCTGCAGTACACAAAATAAATGCTGTTTGTTGATATGGACACCTTCTGTCTCTTGTTCAGGACTCCCACAACTTTCCATTGGTCTATGCTGTCTTTATGTTACGTAAATGCCAGTTCTGGCTTTTAGTAGTCTTTAGCTCAGAGCTACAACAAACTCACACTGGTCTAATAATGAATTGCAAGCTTAATAATGTAAGAAACTAGGGGCTTAAGTCAGTCTCCAGAGTTTAATAAGGCTGCTAAATAAGAAAGTGTTATTTATGTATTACAGAGCTAATAGCTTAAAATGTCGGTGTGAACTGAATAGCAAGAAATTGAGCCAGCAAAGGTTTTTTCTGCTGTTATCAAATTGCTTGTGAAATTATTTTCTGTACACAGAGGATGAAAGAATGGAGTGTAGATTTCTCGTATATTTCTGTAGCTTTATGGACTTCACAACAGTTGCTTTGGATTTTGTCATTCACACACGTTTGTTGTTCCAGTTTGGTAGGTTGGGGAAGGTGGGGAAGGCTGGGAATGCTGGCTGCACTCTTGCTAATGCAGCATAGTGTGCAAGGTGCACTATTTGCTAGAAGGGAGCATTGCTGACTCATATTAAACTTGTGTCCATCACAACAACTACTTACTGTTCTGCAAGGCTGCTTTCCAGACTGCTGACACCAATGTTTTCATGGTAGAGTACTGGCTGGAGAAGTTATGAGTGACTATTTCAGATGATAAAGAACATCTGCTTCCATTTTATTTCTAGGTGAACACTTGACTGCCAAGAAGCTCAGATCTGAGCTTGAATCCAGACTTCTTACATGTTACTTTCTTTCTTCAGTAGCTCTAATGCTGTGAGCAAGTAAGAAGAAGGATTAGAAGTTAAGGTTGAGAAGAGAGTTTGAAATTATGATGCAGCACATGGTGAAAGTACTACCAAACAGATCTGCAAAGGTTTTTAAACAACACTTGTGATGCTTGAAAAATCTCTTGTAACAGAATTCATCATTCTTGGTGTGTTCCTGGGAGACAGACAGGTGAGAACTGAAATCAATGTGTTCTGTGTCCAAAGAGAAATGCTGCAGAAATAGAAAAGAGTAATAAGCAGTCGTTTTAAATGTGCTGCTAAATCCTAAAGCATATTCCTCCACAGAGTAAGACAGAATGAAGCAGGAGAAGTGAGGAGGTCTTAGACAGTCTGGCGACCTGCAGGAAAAAAATAAGAGGGGAATTAACCCAGCAGTCTCAAATTAAATACAGGTAATATGGCTGCCACAGGGACAGTGCCTACAACAAAACCAGAATATCCCAAGGGCTCCATTTTTCCAATTATGTTTGATATCTTTTTGGTACAGTAACTGCTTATACATTTCCACTAAGATGATCAGAGAGCTGGAGTACCTTTCCTATGAAGAAAAGTTGAGGGAACTGGGCTTGTTTAGCTTGGAGAAGAGAAGGCTCCAGGAAGACCTCATTGTGGCCTTTCAGTACTTGAAGGGAGCGCATAAACAGGAGGGGGAACGGCTGTTTAAGAGATAGTGACAGGACAAGGGGGAATGGTTTTAAACTGAGACAGGGGAGGTTGAGGTTAGATATTAGGAGGAAGTTTTTCACACAGAGGTGGTGAGGCACTGGAACAGGTTGCCCAAGGAGGCTGTGGATGCCCCATCCCTGCAGGCATTCAAGGCCAGGCTGGATGTGGCTCTGGGCAGCCTGGTCTGCTGGTTGGCGACCTGCACACAGCAGGGGTTGGAACCAGATGATCACCTTGATTCCTTTCAACCCAGGCCATTCTATGATTCTATGATTTCCATAACATCTGTAATTCAGATCTGTAATTCAGCCTTAGCTACAGTAGGCAAAGCTGCTTCTTTTCTGATAAACTGGGTTTTACGTAATGTTTTTTTGAGGTGAGAAGTTATGATGTAATATCTAATTTCCAGAATATCTACCAAATAGTCTGAAGTTGCATTGCAATAGATACAACAGGTAATCAACAGATCCTCTGTAAAATGACGTTAAGCCTCAGAGACAGAATATGTTGCAATTATAAAGCATCACTCAGGCATCACTTTTCTCATCTGCATCATTAAAATTAAATTAGAAGCAACACATCAGACATAACAGATCATATTTTGTTTTGAATTATCTTAGTTCCTGGGGCTTAATCATCTCTAGAGAGAAAGTCTCAGACCCACCAAGCTTAATCATAGAATCAGTCATAGAATGGCTTAATTTGGAAGGGACCTTCAGGATTGTCCATTTCTAGCCACTTGCTGTGGGCTGGTTGCCACCCACCAGCTCAGGTTGTCCAGGGCCCCATCCAACCTGGCCTTGTGGACCTCCAGGGATGAGGCACCCACAGCTCTCTGTGCAAAGGTGTCAGTATCTCACCACCCTCTAAGTAAATAATTTCTTCCTAACATCTAACCTAAATCTCCCCTCTTTTAGTTTGAAGTCATTGCCCCTTATCTTATCACTATCCGACCACATAAAATGTCGGTCCCCCTCCTCTTTGTAAGCTCTCTTCAAGTACCGGAAGGTGGCACTCAGGAGATACTTCTGGTCCCGGTCACTGACTGCACATCTAGGGTCATAACCCTGTGCTCTTTTCCTTCTACAGCAAAATCAGGTAATCTGTGATCTTGTAAAAGTAACAAGAATGGACACACGTGCATTTCCCTTCATGAACTTGAAGTCATTGGCTACTCAACATGTGTGCGTTCATGCTTTAACATCAAGCAGCCTCCCTGTCCAAGCAGAGCACTCAAGAAACAGAAATGTCTGCTTTCTGAAAAATGCAATATCTTCAGTTGAAGAATTAAGAAAGCAGAGGATGATTTAGACCAATGTTCACTGGCTGTACAACTCATGGCTTGGCCCAGAAAGAACTTCAATTAGGGCTGATTGCAGAAGTTGAAATGGAGACAGTAAAAAAAAAAACAAAAAAAAACCCACAAAAAAACCACGAGAACCAAAGGGAAATTAAAATGAAAATGAACCTCTAAGGGGCTAGATTAAATAACTGTGAAACCATTAGAGATAAAGGAATCTAGGAGAAGGCATTTACAAAAGAATTTGGGGAAACTGTTGGACCTGGATGTTCAATGGACTGTCACAGCAGAGCCCTAAAAAGCGTGAGGGTACATTGCACTTCAGCACCAAGCTGTGGATAAACACGCTGCCCTGGTTTATACCTGCCCTGAGCTGAAGGTGAACATCCAGGCACATATCTAAAAAACAAACTGAAAACATCCAAGTGCACAAATCATAAAATCGTAGAACCATTTGAGTTGGAAGGCACCTTTGTAGGCCATCTAGTTTAACTCCCCTGCCCTGAACAGGGCATCTACAGCTTGATCAGGTACACAGCTGCTATGTGAAGAGGGGACTGCTCAAGAACCTGCACCCCTGTGACCCTCAGCCCCACCATGCAATTGCAGCCACACTTGATATGTCTTTAGGTCCTTTTCCCTTGTCCAGCAGGGTGTCCAGCTGGGGATGCAGGACATAGGGGCACAGAGGGATGGATGCTTACCCGGAGAAAGACTGACATGTTTGCAATAAGCTTTCATGATGTTTGCTTTATTCTTTTAATGGCAAGTCATGAGCCAGGACTTTGCAAGCACTCTTGATTACCACAGTGGTTTGACTGCACTGAGCCCAAGTACTTATCATACCATATTGGTATGTTTAAAAAAATGCTTCCAAAACACTTTTTTTTTCAACTTTGAAATTCATCTTTACTAAAAGGCATCCAAAAATTAGAAGTTGATTATGTATATTTTTCATCATTAGAAATGAAAAGATTTTGGAATATGGAGGAAAATGAAAAATAAATGAGTGTATAGACTTGGTAAGACAACAGAGTGTGGGGCAATACAGGTTCATTACAGATAAAGCTTGAAAGAAGTTATTTCATTGACAAAGACTTTTTCTGACTCCAGTTGTGTTCTTAATAAGGTGTTGTTTTCCAGTCCCCATTTTATTGGTCCCTCTCTGTTCACTTGTGCCATATTCATGCTCATGTAGCACCGCATTTCTGCTTTCCTTTCCTACTTTATGTCAGTCTGAAATTCTCTCCATCATTTTTATTGTGTACAGTAGACATAGGTTCTCCAGTTTGCCCTCCGGGTTCAAAGCATTGCTGAGATCAGAGCAATAAACTGTCCCTTTCTTGCAATCGGAAAATAAGAATTTTTTAGATTTGGGCTTTTTTAAAGAACTCTTTGTCCTCTTGGTCCTTCCTTGGAAACAGGTGCTTGTGTCCTCTTGAACTTGATGCCGAAACATTCCCACTGATGGTCATGGAAATATTTATGAGCTGGTTGGAATGTCACCTCCATGCCAGCCATCTCCAGAAAGTGTCCAGCTCATGAGGATGATGAAGCACGCTCAGACTGTACATTTTCATTTCCCTGGCTTTCATTCATTCTCTGAATCACGGAATCATAGAATGGTTTGGCTTGGAAGAGATCTTTATGATCATCTAGTTCCAACCCTCCTGCTACAGGCAGGGTTGGAACACTTCTCTAGCTCAGGTTGCTCACAGCCCCATCCAGCTGGCTTTGAATGCCTCCAGAGAGGGCATATCCTCAACTTCTCTGGGCAACCTATCCAGTATTTCACCACCTTCACAGTAAATAATTTCTTCCTAATATCTAGTCTAAATCTACCTTCTTCCAGTTT